AATTGGCGCCGTGCATATTGATTGCATGGAACTGCGTTCCGTTCCCTCCAAGTTGGCAAAGTTGGGGAGGTTCCTCAGGAAGAGCAGGGGGTTTGGACTGGCCCATAGCCGCCAGTTGGTGAAGTGATCCCATGCTGTACACGTGGAGTTGTGATTCCAGGAACCGGGAAAGTTCGGGTGATTGCGGCTTTATGGTGATTGCAGCCAGCTACTTACCTACATAACAAGGAAAAAAGAAACGAGAGAAGAGAAGAAAAAAGAGAAGAAAAAAAGAGAGAAGAAAAAAAGAGAGAAGAAAAAAAGAGAAGAAGAAAAGAAAAAACAAGTCCCTGCTATGTTTTGTTTTGCTTTGTACGCCGTATACGCGGCAAGAAGAGCAATGTCCGGACTCGGCCGTGAGACGGACGAAAGGGATGGGGGAGAACGAATCAACAAAGCCCAGGGTGAAAGAGGCGTCGTGCTAAAAGTTCCCTTATCCTTGTCCTTGGAACTGGCGCCGCGCCGCTCTTTGTTAGGGTCCGGAGCGGTGGTACTTACAGGGCCGTCTCAACTCGGGAAGCTGTCGACCGGGGCGAAATGCGAATGAATGTTGGTGGCGTTCCTGAGATTTGACTGTTTTTCTCTTCAGAGAGCCGAAGGCGATCCAATTACGTCGGCAATACATGAGGAGAGACGGGGATGTCGAATTAAGGTATTAATTAGCTTTAGCTACCTTAGGGGAGAAAACGGCTGACACCTATGTAGCCACCAATATTGGGGCTAGCGCGCACGCGCGTCGTGTGCCTTAGTACGGTAAGTACGGAATACCGAACTAGTCGTGGGTTTCAGGGGGTTGGAGCTTGACTGACAGTTAAAAGCTCACCGGAACAGCATGGCATCATGATGCAGCTGACATCGTTTAATCTCCGTTAACAAAAATGTAAGGTCGTAGTAGCTCGCTGGGCAGTTACAGCTTAGGGGTGCTCGTCGTAGCTTCTTGAGTTTTACGGATGTACTCCGTACTTCATACGAGCTGTTAGACCGGACAGTCATGACGTGTTTGGGGGATAGGTGTTATTTCGAAGTCCAGATGAGGGTCCAGAATCAGTGGAGCCCCGCACAGCTACACCTCCGATTTTGTCACTACCTTATAGGTAAGGTAGAGAAAAATACAACGAGGCTTGCCATCCTTTCGTTAGCAAATTATTTCCTTGAGCAAGATCATAAGGTACCTTAGAACCTACAGGTAGAGTTGTCTATAGGTACCTTATCCGTACTTCGTACTTTGTACTTCGTGACCCCCTTGCTCTTCACTGCTGATCTTTTCCTAATCCCCGCGTTTCCCAACCTCTCCCCGTAAGATTACTCACAAATCGGGGAAGGCAGAACCGAAGATGACATATCGGCTGGGCAGGTACATGGATATACATGATCTCAGTTCGGGTCTACTTCGACTACTTTGTACATACGATTGCCTTCTGCCAAGAAGTCCATGGTTCTTTCTCTTTCCCTTTCACACAACCACGGGCAGATATTCTTCAGACCACCCATGAGCTCTCCCCTCTACGAATATTCGACCCACGGAGTCGAAGGGGGAAACAATGGGCTCCCAGGACCTCGAAGTTTCACTTATCCTTGGTGCTTCTACGAAGCACGAATGATTAGTTTTCCCTCTAATCTTGAGCGTTGGCCCTGTCATGCTTCAACCCATGTCGGCATACCTATTCACCTGCAGCGTCGAGAAAATCTCTCAAAACGTCACTCGTTCTCCTCCACTTCCATGGCCTTCCGCGTTAAGCAGTCGTGTAGCCGATGCAAGGGCCCCCGCTGCTCATTCAGACTACCTTACAACGTATGAATAGTTCTACCCATCCACCAGGAAAGGGGCGAGCTTCAACAACGTCTTCCGAGACGTACTACCAGACATTATGCGAAGATGGCCTCTCATTCTTAGGAAATCAGCTGCTTATCAGACTAAGCTCCAGGGATCGCCATTTCTTCCGTCGGATAAGGGGCATGGGGACTTGCTGCATCCTTGGTGACTTTTCGCTCTGATAGAGTGCATGCTCCGGATCAGACCCTTGCATCTGCGTCTGCATCGCCGGCATTAGCTTATGTACGTTACCACACCACCACGCTCACCGGTCACCATCTTCGAGCCGCTGAGCTCGGAGCCTCTGCGTACTATATACATAGGAATACTAACAGTTTCCGCCCCCGTCGGTTACTGTTATTCCATTCCTTCACGAGCCAGTCAATATGCTGCCGACCAGCAACTCCAGTCGAAATGGAGGCCTCCCGCATACAACATTGCGGTCAGTTTGATTAGGGATTCGCGGCTGTTCGATCAGGCAAAAAAAAAAAAAAGCAAAAGCTCAGGGGTTTCCAGAAACCTCTTCTCGGGATACACAGCAGCGGGCGGTGGGCATTTGGCATTTGCCCCATGATCATCCGCCCAACCCTGCGTCCTTGCGGCGATCTGCTGCCGTGGCTTTCCCCCTGACAACACCCAGCAGCTCCATTGCCGTGACTTGATACCGGTGCTCTGGACAAGAGGATCAGTGCCATTGAGGCGGTATCACCCTCGATGGCGCCGTGCAGCATCTCGTTTGGGGTGTCCCGAAGCTCAACAAGGGTGTTGCTACTGTACTACAAAGCACTCAGTGGTGTGGTAGTGCACGCGATCCGCAAACGTGGGTAGTCGTTCGCCGTCGGCCCTGGAATATCTAACCGCTCGTGGAACGGCGAATATGTTGCCTGGGGGTCAGAAGCCGAGACAGGAAAAAGGACGACCGCAAAGCCATTCACATGGCCCTCATTCACATGACCAACCGACGAAGCGGCTGATGTGATGAAACAAGCTGGTCTGCCGTATGAGTGGACACCAACTCGCCTAGCAGTGCCGAAAGTCCCGGTGTCATCGCTTGGGTATTGTACTGGGCGGTGAGAAGTTTCATTTACTCTCGGCGTAGAGCGATCCATTCCAATTTTTAAGGCATGTGGCAGCCGAGTCGTCGACGACGATATGCGCGGACGAAGTGATGGGCAAGGGTATCTACTGGCTTGTAAAAGGCAATTTCTCAACAAATCGTGACTAGTATCAGCGGATTCTCAGCAGCATTAGACACGGCTTTGGTGTTGAATGTCTCCAATGAGATTTGGCGCCGAGGTTTCCAGTACACGGCGCCATCGGCACAGCGCTTGACTTTGTGAAGGGAATACAAAACTGAGCGATCGACCCCTGGTTTCAACGCAGCGTTCGAGGCGTTCATCAGCAAGGCATGTGAAGAGGTCATCATCGCCGCCTCCAAATGGCATCAGCCATGGCCACCACTTGCGACATCTCCACGGCATCGTGCACCCGCACAATGTCCGCTCCGCCTGCAACAGCTGCCGCCACCGTAGCCGCCGTGCCCCAGATACGCTCCTGGGCCTTGGGAACGCCCGTGATGCGGCCGATGAAGCTCTTGCGGCTGGACCCGACCAGCCATGGGAGGCCTTGGAGCCCCGGCCACGTTCGCAGTTCGTCTAGGCGCGCCAGGACTTCGAGGTTCTGGTCGCCCACCTTGGCGAAGCCCAGCCCCGGGTCTAGCACGATGCGCCACCGCCGGATACCCGCAGCCTCCGCAGCCTCCACGCGTTTCTGCAGCTCCTCGGCCACGGTTCGCACAAGGCCACCGTTGTCATCCGGGTAGTCGTTCAGGCCGCTCATGGTGCGGGGGTCGCCGCGCATGTGCATGAGGCAGATTGTCGCCCCGAGGCGGGCCACAGTGGGGAGCATGTCCGGGTCGAGGGTGCCGGCGCTGACGTCGTTGACAATGTCGGCACCGGCGTGAACAGCGGCTTCGGCGACGGCAGCGCGGTAGGTATCAACGCTGACGACGATGTGCTTGAGCTCGGGGAGAGAGCGGATGAGCTTGATCGTGGGGACCACGCGGGCAAGCTCCTCTTCCAAGGGGACTTGCGGACGGCCCGGAGCGGTGGATTGGCCGCCAACGTCAATTATGGTGGCGCCGGCGCGGACGGCAGAGACGAGAGCATCGGGGAGATTCTCGGGGTTGTTCACACCGCCGTCGGAGAAAGAATCAGGGGTGATGTTTACGATGGCCATGACGTGGGTCTTGCGAGTTGGAGAAAGCGCCGTTATTTGAGGGGCCGACGATGATGAGGTGTCACGGGTGAGAGGGGTCAGTGAAGAGAGAGGTTGGGGCCCAGGTGGTAGCTCGTTGAGATAGTCGCTGGTGAGTTTCCATGGTTTTGCTGGGTCAATGGATTTTCCCGGAATAAGCCTATCGCCGGACCAAGATCAGCTGGTTGGACGAACAAGGACGGAAAAGGAGAAGAGCAGTGAAGGGTGACTGGGGAAGCCGAAGGAAGAGCAACGACTCGTGAGAGAGAAACCTACTCGGCCAGAGGTCGCAAGACAAATTCCCGCTCTGGGATGCCAATGTGGGGTACTTTGAGCCTCTCATGATCAATCTTTTCGTCCTGGTAGAGGAGAATGTCGAGATCGATATTCCGAGGCCCCTTGTCGATCAGCTTGCGGCGACCCAAGGACCTCTCGATGTCCTGAAGTTCATCAAGGAGAGCCAGGGGCTCGAGATGTGTTTCCACCTGGATCGAGGTTTAGTTTTTGGAAGCATTGTGTTTACTTCATGTCTCCACATCGGAGCACATGGAGATGGAGCAAGGTACCAAATAAGGGGAAGGGTGAAAAGGGGAGGGAGATGGGGTGAAAACGCACCTCACAGACTCCGTTGAGGAAACTGTCTTGCTCTAGGACGTACATGGGCTCGGTCTCCCACAAACTACTTGTCCTCCTGACATGAATGCCCCGACGATCCATCTCACCGCAGGCCTGCTCAATCCATGCGATGCGATCACCGAGATTGCTGCCCAGGGCGATGTAGGCCGTCTTGCGCCCCGGTGGCGAAGACGACTCGCGACGTCGGCAGCGGCATCCTCCCCCGCATGCAGTGCGAGTTTGGCTGTGAATTGGAGTTTCTCCAGGCATGGGCGACGAGATCTGAGAACGAAAAGGGCTGCGAGATTTCCTTGGCGAAGAGCTCGTGAGGGGCAGAATGGTAAAACGGGAGTAAGCAGAAGTGGAGGCAAAGGGGGCAAGGGACAACTGGAAGGGAGGTGATATTCTGAATCTGCTCAACCGAGGTGAGGGTATGGCTAAGTGAGAGAAAGACGGCGATGCAGGAGTGTGAGCGAGATGCCTATACGAGGCACTGCAGCCTCTCTCAAATATAGTGCTTGTCCTGGTGTGTGTGAGGGACTTCATATTCGGCTCCGATCTCAGCTTCAGATTTTACCACGCAACGGAGGCTTCTCCATCAATATTAGCGCACCAAAGTAACGCAACGCAACCACGGTACTGTATGAGACGTCTGGTACGTACTAATTACACTGTACCTAGGTAGGTAAGGTAGGTAGGTAGCCACGCAAAACGGGAAAAGTGGAGACTGAACGAGGGGCTAAGAAGAGAAACGGATATTGACATGTATGAAAGTGACGAGTGGATCCGTAAAAAGAGGTATTTCTCCCCGCTGGCCGGAATAAATCCGGCTGCTCTAGGCGGTAGGTAGGTGCCTGATAAGTGCCAAGGCTTACTGAAGGCAGTCCCCCGTCGATAAGCCGCTTATCTCTACACGAGTGTCCCACCAACGCTTTTCCCTTTCACCATAAAGTTTCCCCAGGTTTTAGCCTTCCCACCTCACCCAAAATGGCTTAGCGGCTAGAGTCACGGGTCCCCCCATGCCAAACAATGCCTCGCTGTGCCTCGGTTCGGCTCAAGTTGTAGTCATCTGGGGACGGCACTCGGCGGGACCGTAAGCTGTTTCTTGTCCATCATCGTCTCCGATCACCGACAACTTGCCGTAAACCTGTCCTTCTCCTCCCCTCTCCCTCCCATCATTTAACCCCCGCGGTCTCCCTACCTAAATCAACGCTCACGTCTTCATTTTTCCTCCTCCATCTCGACATTCTCCCATCACAGAGTAATCCACGAAGACAAACTCATCATGGCCTCCCCTCGTACGTCTCCGCCTCTTATCACATGCTTCGCTACCATACTCCCCTACTAATGCAGCCTCCTCTTCCGTGATCTAGAGAAGATTCGCACTCCGCTCACTGATCTGTTCAAGATCAATCATCCGGTTCTCCTCGCCGGTATGAACGTCGCTGCCGGCCCTAGGCTGGCGGCCGCCGTCACGAACGCCGGTGGTCTTGGCGTCATTGGAGGTGTCGGCTACACTCCGGAGATGTTGAGGGAGCAGATCGCCGAGCTCAAGGAACATCTCGACGACAAGAACGCGCCTTTTGGCGTTGATCTGTTGCTACCTCAAGTTGGCGGTAGCGCCCGGAAGACAAAGTACGTCTTGATTTTTTTTTCCACTTCTTCCTTCTCGTCCGCCTTTCCCTTTCTCATCATTTCCAACCGTTCCAATGCACATAGGTGTTTCCTCCCGCTAACTCTTTCGCTTTTTTTTTTTTTTATGCAGTTATGACTATACCAAGGGCAAGCTCAACGAGCTTGTCGATATCATCATCGAGTCGGGCGCCAAGCTCTTCGTCTCCGCCGTCGGCGTACCCACCAAGGCCGTCGTCGACAGGCTCCACGCCGCAGGCATTGTCTACATGAACATGATCGGCCACCCCAAGCACGTGCAAAAGTGCCTCGACCTGGGCGTCGACATCATCTGCGCCCAGGGTGGCGAGGGAGGCGGCCACACGGGCGACGTCCCCACCACCGTGCTGATCCCGGCCGTCGTCGCCCAGTGCTCGCGCTACAAGTCGCCGCTCACGGGCCAGCCCGTCCAGGTCGTCGCCGCCGGCGGCATCCACAACGGCCAGCTCCTGGCCGCCGCCCTCATGATGGGCGCCTCCGCCGTCTGGGTCGGCACCCGCTTCATCCTGACCGACGAGGCCGGCGCCCCCAAGGCCCACAAGGACGCCGTCCGCACCGCCTCGTGGGACGACAACATCCGCACCATCATCTTCACCGGCCGGCCCCTCCGCGTTCGGAACAACGAGTACATCAACAACTGGGAGACGGAGCGCCAGCAGGAGATCAAGGAGCTCACCGCCAAGGGCGTCATCCCGTACGAGGCCGACCTGGAGAAGCACATGCAGGAGGCCGAGAACAAGGAGGGAGGCGACGACAACGCCGAGGACGAGGACGACGACGACCCGCTTGAGAAGTTCAGGCCTTTCCTCATGGGCAAGGCGGCCGCCGTTGTCAACGAGCAGAAGCCTGCCAAGGCTGTCGTGGACGAGTTTGTCAACGATGCCGTGGAATGGATCAACAAGGGAAAGAGCATGGTTGCCAAGCTATAAACCGTAGTTGGTGTTTCTTTTCTGGTTCGGGTCCACCGCGTTCTAAATCCTTAGCACGGCGTGGAATTTTCTTTTTGCTTTTTCTTGGGTATATGGGATAGGAGGAGGGGGGAGGACATGGATGGGGAAATGAGCAATGGAGCCATAGAAGGAAAACAATTGCGCCGCCCGTCAAAGTGACGGATGAGATCTGCGCTTGTATATGATCATCAGTCTATGGCATTGAAATAGCCTATGCATTATGGACGAGGACTCTTCGAATCAAGCTGGGCCGAGTTCCCCTTTGATTTTCAACAACTGAACGAACCATGAACCCTGGGCCCTAGAAGGTATTGTATAGACAACCTCGGTTATGAAGATGTCTTGGCAACAACTTTTGGTAAATGGCGTCTATCCGACTCTTAATTGTCTTTTTCTATCTGCCTTCACTTTGCCTGGCCTAGCCATCAACCGATTCGCCTATCGCCTGGTCGAGGCCTGCATACGCCATCCTCTGCCTCCCTCACCAAGGCAAGGCAAGGCAAGAAAAAAAAAGAACGAGACCGTGTAGGCAAAGAACATCAAAAGAAAATGGCAACTAAATATGGTACTCGTCTGCCCACCTGTGGCCGTCATCATGAGCTACCCGTCCCACCTCCACTGCTGCTCTAAGAATCGTCTGTGTTCATGGGCAATCGTGGCAGACATATCAAGATGAGCGAGTCCGGCACTCATGATGATGTTGTATTCGTCCTCTGCTTCGCCTTCCGCCCAAATTTCTACGGAAATCGGACAAGAACAAGAAAAAGAAAAGAAGAAAAGAAAAAAAAAAAAAAAGATTCAAACTTCGTCTCGACATTGCACATGCCCCGGAATGTAAACCCACTTCAGCTACCCAGGTAGGCTCGGATGGCGCCCTGCAGTCGACCGCTGACTTCACCCGCCATTTGGGTGAGGTTCTCCAAGTCGTCGCCGGCGGTGATGCCGAACTTGCGGATGAAGTCCTTTGCCGCGGACTCCAAGTCACCGTACTCATCTGCGGGTTCGTCTTCGGGCCGTCCGAAGTAAGCGTTGGACGAGATGGCCGTGGCGCCCTCGAAGCCTTGCAGGCGCGTCTTGGCCTCGGACTGAACGGAGGGGTCGAAGGATCCCTTGCCGAAGAACTCGTCCGAGGAGATGCCCTTTTGGTTGCCAAACTTTTCGCGAGCGTACCTCTCGGTGTCATCTAAGGCACAACAAACAGTACAGTGGCTTAGCAGTGGCCGATTGAGAGAGGGACGAGGAGAAACTTTGTGTTGGGGAGGACAAATGCTTACCCTCGTGGGCTGCCTTGATGGGCCCCACAGAGCCGAAGCCCCCAGCAGCGGCCTTCTTCTGAGCAGCCACCTTGGCACCTCCGATCTGACCGAAACCTAACCGGGCGACACCCATGCCCAGTCTCTCCATTTCAGCGCTTGATCTCTGCCGAGTGTGGGCCGAGGAACCGTAGCCGCCCTTGGGGCTCACAGGCGTCGGGGAAGCGATGCTGGGGGTCTCGACGCTGGCGCTCTTCTTATCGGTCTCCACCTCCGCTTCAGGGTCGTAGCCCAGCTTCTCGATGCGCTCGGCTTCCTCCTTGGCCCTCCTCTCCGCTTCGTCAAAGTCGATTATGTCGGCGGTGACCTTCTTCGCGCCAAGCTTTTGCGTCACCTTCTTGGCGCCGAGAACGTTGGCCTTGCGGGGTCCTCCCGTCGTGGTCTTGCGCAGAGCTGCGGAGGTCGTGAGGCGGCTGGCCGTCGGCTTGCTTTCGGTCGCATCGGACCTGGCAAGGGGCGAGGCGGATCGGGGCCCGTCCTTGGACGCCCCGTTGCTGCCAGTCAGGGGCGAAGGAGTTCGGCCGATAACGGGCGGTGTGTTGGTGCGCGAGAGGGGCGGGGTGGGCTTCTTGATCGCCGGCTTATCCCAGGATGAGAAGAAATCGTCTTCGTCAGCTCCGGAGGGCGTGGTGCCCGCCTCGGCCTCGGGGCCGTCGTTGATAACAACTTCGCCGGGGAACCTGTTGTAGATATGCGTCAGCCACAACAGACACACCAGGCCATTTGTACGGACAAAGAAACATTGTGTTTACTCTTTGGCGTCCCTGGCTGCGCGCCGCTTCAGTTCATCTTTATATTTGGTGGCCGCATTCGACCCATATTTGGTCTTGGGGTCCTTGCTGTTCAAAGCGGCAGTACCACCGTTTTGCTGGAAGAACTTGGTCGCGGACTCATTGCCGCCGACCTTCATTAAACGCAGCTGATCCCATTGCCATTCTATCACCATGTGAGCGTCGACCCTCGGGAGGAGGGGAAATAATCGAACAATGGATTGCGGAACGTACGGTCGAGATTCGTGGAGCGTACAAACGAGATGTGAACACCGAGATTGCGGTGGTTCGAGGAGCAGTCGAGACAAAGATAGATGCCGAATGGGACCGATGTCCAGGTAGGATGTTTTGCACCGCAGTCAAAGCAAACCTGGGGGGAGGGAAAATCAAATCTGTCAATCTGCATGCTCCCTTCACCGAGTGAGACAGTCCAGTCGGGGCTTACCTTGTTTGCCGGCTTCGACTTCAGTTTCTCGAAGATCTTGAGAGATTGCTGCTTCGACGCAAGTGCAGCCATGGCGGCTCGTTCCGAGATGTCGAATCAAACTTGCGCGTGGGTATCACAATGACAATCCAGCCAGAAGTGGCTTAAAGCAGACACGAGACAGGATAGACTCGTAGAGGACGGTGACGGTGTAGATATCATCAGCAGGGTGCGTCGTTTTGGTGATCCAAGTTTCAGGAGATGGACGTGCTATCTATCCCCGTGTCAAAAGGTGGCCCGTTACGGGCGCCGAACCTAAAACCGAATTCGGTTTAGGTGCATACTCCACCCACATTGGATTCTGCCAAGGCGGTCAAGTTGTCTATGAAGGGCTTCCAGACTTCCACACCTTACCTTCATCCTCACTCCGTAGGTATCCAAGGAAGACGTCTACGCTCGAAACTACCTTACTCTCAGCCCCGGCAGAATCTTAACCGGCTTTACTGGCCAATTTATACGCCTTTGTACCATGGCTGACGCCGAGCCGCCATGATGAACATCTCCAGCCGCGCGCTTTCAATCCGCACACCAGCGACAACAGCTGCATTCCACCCCGCCGCGTTCCTGCTGCGACCTCTTACGATATCGCGATGCTACGCCACGCCGACAGGCCTTGGGACGACATTGCAGGGTTCTAAGAGGAGGACGGTAACCCCTTTCAACGACGATGGACGGGTGCCCTGGTCGGAACTCTCTGCTTCGGAGAAGGCGAGCAGAGCCACCCAGCAAAGCTTCAATTTTGGTCTGATTCTCCTCGGCATCGTGTGCACGGTCAGTCTTGCGCCTTCGACCCATCTCGCTTCCGACAACAAACCTTACTACGGTGGACTGACACTACAAGCTAGGGTGGCGTGGGCTACTACCTTTACACCGACGTCTTTTCTCCCGACAGCAAAACGGCCTACTTCAATCGGGTGGTCGACCGCATCAAACAAGAACCCACGTGTCTCGAAGTGCTCGGTGATGCGAAGAAGATCACCGCCCATGGGGACGAAACGTACAACAAGTGGAGGCGATCTCGTCCGATTGCGTATGTCATGTCATCATGTCATTATTCTCGTTCCAAGCTGCCGCTCGTCGTCGGGCGGTTCGAGCGGTCGAGCGCTATCTAACACGGTGCGATCAGGTCGACCACGAAGACGGACCCCAAGGGCAATGACCACCTGCTCATGAACTTCTACGTATGACGATCCTTTCCCGATGCAATTCGCCCCTGATGTGCGAGACTGACTTTCGCCATGCAGCTCGAGGGCCCGCTGAACAGGGGCCGGGTACATCTTCATATGATTCGGCCTGCGGGGCACAGCGACTACGAGTACAAGTATCTCTATCTCGACGTCAAGGGTCACCATAGGATCTATCTCGAAAACGCCGACACCAGCCCGAATAATCCGAACAAGTCCAAGTTCCGATTCTTGGGCATAAACTGGGGTTGATGCAGTGTAGGCTATTCCAGGAAGCTGCCCATCCGCGGAACGACAATATTGTTATCGAGGTCAGGAACATGCATCTGTATATGTCTATGTATACTATCTTCTTGCGCAAGCCACTAAACGGCCCGGGGTCCTGACACCTAATTCCTGTCCTCTTAACCCAGACCGTGTTTGTGACATTGATGAAATGGAAAGGGAGTGGAAGTGGTTGGGGGAAAATAACATTCTGGCTAATTGGAGGAGACACCAATTCTCGATGCTTAGAGATTTGTTACTCTTATACCCAGAGTGTAGTCTCATATAATGCACATTCCTTCACATCACGGCAAAGAAGAGTCTTCTTGGGCTATGAGATTTTGTGGGCTTTCAACTTTCAGCCTTCCTGTGAGGTGATATATCTCTGTTCAACGTTCCTGTCACTCATCAAGTTCGACGACCGAAAATGATTCGAAGCTCGACATTTCTGTCCATGTCCGTCAGTCTCCTGAACACGGCCTACGTATCAGTCATCGTGAATATGCAGCTCTTCTTCTTCGTAGGACCGGTACTGTGGAAGAGAGACCTTAGCAGAGAGCATGGTAACATCTCAACTATTGAATCCAACGTGCCTTGATAGGTCAGAACTCATCATGCTTCTGCCGGACGTCGTGTCACAGGGGTTCAATCATGAACTGGCTGACTTGGACCTCTAGAAACACCTATTGAGGGTGAATGCCTTCCAAATTTCCACTGGCTAGCAAGTGACCGGTATTGGAACCACGGGTGGGCCTTACGTTTATGCTTTCCTTTTGTCTTCCTACCAACCTCCCATGAGGTATGAGGTAGGAGGACATCGGATGGTTCTAGGCCAGATGCAACAGGTAAATTTGCCCGAGCCAGCGCCTTACTGAGAAAAAAGAAAAAAAGAAAAAAAAAAGAGCTAGACGTTTTATGATGTCCAGCCTCTGCCCAGCTACGTGTTTACGCTGGGTCCAGGTAGAGAGACTGATACTTTTTCCCCCGGTGAGAGACGATGAGACCAGAAGAGTCAACACGCCTATGTCCAAGACGAATGTCTTTTGGTACTTTTCCAAGCAGGCCCGGCATCAAGTTACGCCGTAAGTATGTTCTTTGCATCGACATTTGAAAACCGCGACTTGGATGGACTGTATCCAGATCGCAAATTCGCTCGGCGCCATGAAGGCTCACTCACTTCACCAACAACCCACAAAACTTACTACTACCCTCCCGTGGATCGGACCACCAGCTTACGGGAGGCTGCCGGGTTGAAAATTGAAGACGATAGAATGAAAAGGAAAGGAAAAAGAAAAGAAAAAAAAAGGGAAAAAAAAAAAGCAAAAGAGTAGTCGCCTCTAACACCACCCCATGCGCATCTTAAACCCCCCCCCTAGAGACAGTTGCCCCGTCGTCCAAGGCGAGATAGGAACGAAGTCACCGGAATCGTTACATGACGGAACAGGAGCCCCCGAGCTAAAAGAAGGCTGAACAGATGAGGCTCTTCCGGAGAATAAATCTGGAAAGGGTTGCAGCTGTGTGCGCCTTTGCGGCCATGCGATTGGATAGACGCGAATGGAACGAACGGGAGAAGCAAATTTAGCCAGAAAGAGGAGACATTGCGAATTGACGTCCCGAGATCCGACACGATCTAGACCACCGTATCTATGCCGGCAACCGGGGTACGGGACTCGAGGGTGGGTTGAGAGAAATGTTTGTCCACGTAGCATCATGACCGAGGGAGGGCTGGAGATGCCTCCGAGAAAGCTAGAGGGCGCCCAGCGTAGCAGATCGGCCACCCAGTCCCACGGGATGTTACAGTGTTGCGGCTCAAAAGGAGCGGATGCAGACGCGGCTTTTGCATTCGGTGAAGCAGGATGCAAGATAAGGGGGAAGCGATTGCCGGGGACCCGAGATAGTGAACGAAACGCGTGTCTGGAGTTCTTCTGAGTGAGTGAAATGAGTTGAGGCTCACTTCAATAGCGTGGAGGAAGCGGCCCGACATTCCTAACCCCAGGTTTGCCACCAACATATGTCTTGGCATGGTAGGCTAGAACGTGTCACTTTATGCTTAAGCATTGTCTTCACTATGCCCGGATCAGGTTCAGTCAATACTCGCTTGTAGGGAGTTGTGGTTGGCCAGTTGTATGTGTCCAGGCATAGCAGAGGATAAATATCGAGCCGGAGCATCCATGTGTACGGAGTAAACGAATCCGGAAAGTGCTTAATAATATGATGCGTTTATCAATGGGAGAGATTTGCTGGCGCGATAGGCTCATCGTCGGGTCACACCGGGGAAGCAATGCCGTAATCACAGGTTCAACAGCAGGGAGATACGAGGATGGCCACGTTGCTAGGTTTAAAAGCCCCTGAAAAGCGGACGATGGGAGTTTGCACGGCAATATGGACTGCCAAGAGAGAGTGATTGGATCGGATATGGCCCGGTGAAGGACGCACGCCGGACAGGGATGGATAACTCGGGGCCATTCCGCAAGGCATGGAGAGGCTGTGCGAAAAAAAGGAAAAAAAAAAAAGGTGATGCGAATTACGAAATAATTGATGCTGGTGCGGATTGGCACAAAGTATCCGTAAGGGACGGAAAGACGGGCAACCGTCTCCTAGCCAGTCTTACGTTTTTTGTGCCTTAGGCATATATCCGTACTTACTTACGCCTTTAGCTGAGTGGCATATCTGAGGGTCCCTTCAGGTCCCCCAGGCGGATGGATGAGTGAAGAGGGCCAAGGAGGCTTGTGGGTTTCAGGTGAGACGGTAGAGAATACGACCGCGGGTTTTCGACTTTATACATTCCTGTCTCTGTAATAATCAGATAGAACCTCCAACACAAGTTCGCCCTTTTCCGAGTCGCGACATGGTTTATTGCTAACCAAATACTTCGTGGTGCCCGGCTGGGGGATGAGTGCGTCAATTTTTGTCGATACCAATAGGTACCTAATTACACCACTCACTCGTATCAACGCGGACACGCTCGGTGAGTCCCTCGGTATTCTACCCGGCATCCCAGGGTCCGTATGTGTTTCTGGATTCTTCTCCCCGTTAGACCCGGAAACTCGCTGTACCTTGAACTTTCATTTTCGTCCACGACACTAAAGTCCGCCACACATGAGAGGGGTCAACGGGGGGTTTTTTTTTTCATCTTTTCTTTTTGCTGGCGGGGCGGTGTGAAAACAGAATGCTCCAAGCGCTCAGTAAGAACCTCGATTGCCAAGGCAGAGACCATTTGCCACTCATGATTCTGTCTCCCGAGTCCCCGACGACGCTCGGACAAATCATTGCGCTTCTCTTGTCGTCCTGCTGAATGACCAATGTTCCAACATGGTAGCGAGCGCCTCACTATCAAGGACCTCGCACGAGGGCCGGACAGGGGGTCTTCTGCCCACGTGGTCATTCCTTTCCTCATGCGACTCTGACAAGAAGTATGTGGCAGTAATTACTTTGGGTGACATGATCAATGTGGAGATGCCATATGGTAAAAAAAAAAAAAAAAAAAACCCCCCCCCCCCCCTGTGCCGGCGGAGACTGATGTACGCTGTAGACCACGAGGAATGCAATGACACCAGATGAGACGATGGCTTCAATATACCCGGGCGCATGTCCTCCTCATCCTCCGCAATATCGCCTCATGTACGTAGTTTTCGGTCTCCAATCACAAATGAATCTGCGTTTTGACGTTGACATTAGCCCACCACGGTACGCAGATCTCCCTCCCCAGGCGAGGGTCCAGAACTGTCGATCAATCAAATGAACCTCACCCGCAACAACGCTTGGACATACAACGTTATCCAGACAACCTACTTCAGTAGGTGTGATTGAGCCTTGAGGGGGATCGGTAAGTTGCTAGTTGATCGACGTGAAAATTCAATTCGCATCCTACCTAAGCGACTGTGGGCATTGACCCCCATTTGTTTGCTCTTGGCTTTTATAAGACACAGAATTAATGCCTCAATCAGCTGACAAGGACAGCTAACTAACGACGGACATCGTGAGCTCCCCCCCCTCTTCTGCTTCGTTCCTTCTCGGATATGACCGAAGCTAATCCCATCCAAGACGAAAAGGGGGTTCGTCAGATTCGTCAGTCGTCACATTCCTGTCCTCGCTCGTTCGACCACAAGGGAGCGGCTCGCATCCCATCCCGCATTTCGGACTTACAACTTGACCTTTATCAGTCCGCGGCTAATTGATAGGATGGGGAACTTAACATGTGCGAAGTACCTAAGAACGGGGCCTTAGTGTACTTCGTAGTTTGTACATAAGGTACGATATTGACTGCACTATGTATTTGCGGTTAAGGTAAGGGGGATACAGGGGGGCATCTTATCCCGTCGCTGCCCCTCCCCGACTTTATCGACCCTCGTTCCTCGAGACTCTCCCGGGTTGAGAACGTGACATTCTCCACACTAACCCCAGGGCTACCAGCGATAGCAAAAGACGCTAAGTACCTTAGAAGATCCCTTGTCACCTGGGGTCAAGCGTGGCATGGCGTGGGGGTCGCCAACTGAGATGGCTGCTTGTTTCCTTTATCCTCGTGACTCGGCTTTTCAATGGGTGTTCGACTTATCTCGTTATCTCGGTTCATCATCGGTCAGCTTTTATCCCCAAACATGGGGGCCCCATGGCGGTGACACGATCCTTGAGAGTGACGGCCCCAGGGTGCCAGTTGGCATACATTGCTTGTATGCCAGAGCTATTGGGAACGTCCTAGCATTGTTTGCCTGCAATGACGAAACATGCGTAAGGTATGTAAGGTAGAGAAATTGGCGGTATGCACTCGTCCTGTCTCCGTGCATCTTTATGCGTATTACTTCGTACATACATACGACGTTGGGTATGAGGCGGGGTCGTGGTTTTTCATCTTTGATTCCCAGGTACAGGTAATGGGATGCGCAATCGACAAGTCGAATCCCGGTACCCATCCAGCTGCTCAATGCGGAATTTTGCCCAGGGCCTGTCGCGTATCGCGTTTCAGGGAGGCGCTCCGCCCCCTCAACCTTTGGGGATTCTCGAGATACCCCAAAAGTCGGTATCGAAGTGTTTCGCGGATAATGTCTGAAAAAGGAACAAGCAGAATGCTGCTTATGCGGGGCCCGGGGAAGCCATCCTGCGTAGGGGCCTTGCATACCTCATAACGGACTGAATAAAGTGTCGTCGAATCGGAGAAGGAGAATCCACCGATATGCAAATTAAATTGCCTCCGAGTCTGCTGTAAGTGTAGTATGTACATACGTACAGGCATCCATTATTGTCTTTTCGTTGAGTTGGACTGCAGTGTAGATTTTGAAGACAAGGAAGCCATTCCAGATATGATCCCCCAAGATACCTCCTCACTGTTGGATCAAGAAAATCCGTGATTTCGATGGCGTCGAGCAACACACCCGCAACTGCTTGGCTGTACGTTGTGCATCGACAGTACCGTCTCCTATTTGATGGAGCCATCAGGCGGTGACGAGAACGTGGCTGAGAAAATATCTGCCGAAGAGGAGATGAGTGAGCGGCAGGCCGAGATTGCAAAGCCACAAAGCTGCCAAGCATGGACCTGTCTCCCCAAGAAGGGTAAAACAAGATATACAAAGTGCATTAAAAAGAATCCCTGGAAACTGGTGTGGGTTGTGCGGAGTTGTAAAGGTCTGTCATTCTCAGCAAATCGGCTGCGACGGACGGCATTAACCGTGAGATGGCATGGGCCATCATGAAATCAGCCGATGAAATTGACGAGCCACGAAAACGGCTCGTGCAATTGCTTGGAAGGCGGCGGAGAACAGGATGATAGAGTCTCAAGCGTAGTAATTAGTCAGGCCCCGTTCGCGCATTGTCTGAGATGTACGAAGAACGGAATATGAAGTCCTGGATTGCCAAGTCGGTTTTCGTCCCAGCTCGGCCTCGTTATTCGACGAAAGAGCGTCCGAGAATGCAACCGGAAAACCCCAACTGAAGAAGACAAAAGAAGAGGAAGAAAACATCGACAAATATCATGTGCTGTGATTACCGAACCTGCGCCGTGCTGTGCTTGGCTCGACCCGACTCGAGACCGCACGGTACGTTGTACGTTGTAGATCCGCGAAACCTTTAAACCACCCTAGCTGTTGCTTTCGTGGACCACGGACTCGCCCGCGTGGTGAGACAAGCAGCTCAAATCAGTGCAACCTCAGCTGCGTCCGGGAAGGTCAGCTTTCCCTAATATGTACGAACGGACAACTAACTCTACCTGGTTCTTGTGTCCTGTCTCGCTCTGCGTATGAATGTACGTTGAAGTAATACATCGGACATTGGATCCCTAATATTTGCCCGATTGTGTTGATCCTCCAAGTCCCCCCAAACCAGAGATGCCTGGCTTGATCCCCTTATCTCAGGGGCCCCGGCGGAGCGTGGCGCCAATAACAGGGCCGGGCGCCGCGGCCGCCACCTCCACGGGGATGGAGAGCCCGGGGGAAGGGAAAGGGGAGGGGTGTCGATATAGTACCTTGTGTTTTCGACCTATCATACGAGCCCACGGGGCCACCCTCTCCCTATTTACCCGGCACGAAGATCGGATCAACTTGCCAGGGACCCAGGGAACCCAACCAACAATCTCGGGAACGTAGTGACGGCAAGGGAAAAGATTCGAAATGGCAGATACCAGTACCAGTACGTTGTTGCACGCCACATCACCACACCACACGCACACCACACAAACAACAAACAGAATGTTTAAAAAGTTCCTCACCCTTGCCACTCGGGGGTTCAGGCATCGTCAAGATATACTCTTGCAAGTTAGACTCGGGGAATCATCAAGGCACGGTTTCTCGCAATGCCGTCATTCCATCACAAACGTACATATGCGGACACGGGGCCCCGGAGAAGTTTCGCAACGAGTGGAGAGTCGTGGTTATGTAATGCCGAAACGCGCACTCACCCTTACCCATGTGTATTTTATACAAAGATTATGGAAGGCGGATATGCGAAGTGTTCCATGCCGAGCGAACACGGCAGGGACGATCATACGTTGAAGTCTCTTGCCCAAACGAACAGAGACCGAAAATTTCTGAAGCCTCTGCGTAAGTGAAGACAAAGGGGTCAAAGAAGAAAAAGAGGGGGGGAGGAGAGTAAATTTATGACAAAACGAACGTTTGTATAATAAGCGCAGGTTTGCGGGTACTCGGGACCACAACCCGCCAACGAAGAAAAAGCAATGATGCAAATTACTAACACGGAGAGGCAGCCAAGGGGACAAAAACAGAGAAAGACGCAAAAAAGAAGAAGAAAGAAATGGTCAGAGCACGTAGTAATATTGGTTTCGGCTGTCTGTCTATCCATATGGCCATATAGAAGCTGACGTGATATACCACCACACCCCTCATGTCGCTATCTATTCCCTATCTTGGGTTGAAAGGGTGACAGGTACGCTAAGCCATGTCCTTCTTGTCAGGCAAATCCTCAGGGGTAAAGTACAGAAACGAAAACCCTAAATGAGGGGCGATTCGTCGCGAATGTGCCGCGTTGTGATTCGACCCTATCGTACAGCACTAGGCGGTTTCGAGTGCATCCAATGGCATCGTCAAGCACGACATGCAACCAGTTTTGGGGGACAAAGGAGTCAGGGGGCCAAATCAATAAAGACAACAGGGGAAGGAAAGGTTGCTGACGATTGGGTTCCTTATGTGTCCTCCGTAGCGCGTGGCGTGGAATGTTTATTTTGGGAACTAAGGACCTAGCTACTAAATATGGGAAAGAATATCGAGGGTGATTGGGTACATTACCCCGTACCCCATCCCCCTGGGGTAAAAAAAGGTTAAAAGGGAAAGAAAAGGGGGAGGGGTCAGGGGGCGGAGCAAAACGTCGATTTGAGAATTTGAGGTAATGGAATGGATGCTGAGTGAAAAGGGATGCCTCCAAGGTGGCTGATGCGGGGGGTGGGGTGGGGGTTAAGATACAACGTACTGAGAGACAAGCACAACAAACAGACGGCGAGTCCGTGGACTGTCTGATCAGGTACTTCGTACGTAGCGAAGGAATAAGCTAGAATACCTACCCCGTGCCTTAGGCACCATTCCACTTCGTACTCGTACTTCACTTGCAGCATAGAGGTGACGCGGCGAGGAAAAGAAGGCAGGGCGAGTAAAAGGCCCCTTTGGATGGATACGACGCAATAGCACGAAATACCTAAGCACCCCCCTTAAAAGTCCATCCATCACACCGAGGCTGAAGGCTTATGCCATGTCACGACCAATGGTGTCATCCCGTCACACAATGTCCCAGCAGGCAGCCGTCGCCAATGTCTTTTTGTTTCCCACCATATGGAATGGAATGCACGGGCGACGATGCGTGTGATTTTAGGTGCTGCTTTGGTTCAAAGACGTGAGAGAAGAGACAAGCCTCGATTTTAAGGTAGATATTGTTTTGAGTGGAATGAAATCATTTGGTCTTTGTTTGGTGCCCTTATAATTCTATATCGATAATTAAAAAAAAAACGCTGTAGCGCGCTATCTAGCCGGCCGGGTCAAGACACTGCGGCGGGCCTTGACAAAGGGGGGATGCATGATGAGTGAAGAGGTGCAAAAAAAAAAAAAAAGAGGAAATCCAGAGACCAAAACCTAACTACTATCGCCTGCCATGCCCCGAGGCATCGTGACCAATTCCTATATACCCAACCAAAGCCCAGGTCATCCGCCGTCTATACTCTGTAGAATACCAACAGTTTAAAGTAACCGCCACAGAACCACCAAAAGCCTCATCTCGAGTCGGGTTCAACGTTGAGATGAGGCCCCACAAAAAAGTATCTCGGCCGAGGGAGAATCGAAAGGGAAAATGCTTCTGGGTTGTAAAAACTCTGAGCCGCAGGGAGACTGGGTTAATCGAGACAGAAACCCAAGCCCAGCACTGCAGTTGAAAGAGGGGAGGGGGAATGTCGTCGTCATTAGGGTAAAAGTAGTATAAACTCCTGGGTTCACCAACTGGAATCTCGCCAATCCATGGACGCCTGTCTATATTCGTGTAATTGTTGCCGTTTTCTCCCTGGTCGTGAAATTCGTTACCAAATGCGGCGCGGGTCCTTGCTGCGATCGACATGTGATTATATCCGATCCATAAGGTCGCCGCCGGCTAAACTAGGTGTCGCGGAGCTCCTCCCGCTGTTGAAGCCGTCGCCCGTCGTCAGCAGCTCGTGGACGCCGATCTTGGGAACGGGAAGCTTCCTGCTGCCGTCCGGGCGACTAAGTATGTCGCTCAGAGAGCCTCCGGTACCACGCGACGTCGGCTGCATCCCCGGAGGTGCTTGGAAAGGGACTTCAGGCCTCGGCTCGAGTACACCCAGCGCCGGCTGTGGCATAGCCTGCAGAGACAGATTGCGGAATGGAGGCAGTTTGAGGTCCATATCCAACGGCCGGAGACGGGGGGAGTGAGCCGGGGTCGCAATAGGGGTGTGGTCTGGAGTCGGGGACAACGAATCGTGGGAGAAAGTCGGGGACGATGGCGCTGTGGAGTTGGGCGAGTTGGGTCGGGAGCGCTTGGCATGACGGTAGGCACCGGCGTAGTGGTCGTCGTGGTCCTCGTACGACGAGGAGCGCGACATGTGGTACGCCGAGAGCGATTGACGACCACTACGCGAGCCCGGCATGTAGGGGTGGTGGCGGCTGAAATGGGGAGGCTGTGGTGCGGCCAGCGTCTCGCGCTCGACCTGGTTGGCAGCCTTAGCCAATATTGAGATGTCCATGCTGGACCTGACTGGAGGCCCTCGACCATAGGGGTGGAGAGAGGAATGCACGGGCAACGCAAACTGCGAATAAGAATGGGGAGGCGAGACGTTGGGCGAAGAAAGACTCGAGGTAGGCGCAGAGCGAATGGCCTTGGGCCCAGGCGGAGGCATCATGCTATCGGCCTGCATGTGAATCTGAGGACCCGAGTTGTACTGATTCTTCCCTCGCCTCGAGTTGGGATTGCTGTGTATCCTCGAGTGGCGGGTGAGCTCATCGGAGCGGGAGAACTTTTTGCTGCACCCAGGGAACTGGCACGCATGAGGCTTTTCGCCGGTATGTGTGCGAATGTGCCTTGTCTGATGCTCCAAGCGGTGGAAGGCCTTATCGCACAAAGGACATTTGTAGGGACGAGGCAGCTCTCCCGAGTTGTTCTCGGTCGGCTGCGCGGCCGGGACGGGGCCGTTAGGCTTGACCTGCTGGGCGGAGGACATGTTGTCTCCTTCGCTCTTCGGTTGCTGCTGCTGCGAGGCCGGGACCAGAGCAGGTAGTGAACCAGACGCAGGCGTCAGCCCGTCTTGATCGGGATTTAGAAGATCGGCGAACTGTGATCGCTGCATGTGACCACTGTGTGACGTATTGTCGCCCAAGACGAGACTCTCTCAAAAGGATATGACCCGGCAGGTATATAGAATATCGCTATTCCCGGGTTGCGTTCGCTATGATCGGTGTCGCCAGACTCGTCCTGTTGGACAGGTTGTGTGCTATATGGTTCGGGTTTTGGTGTTAGGAGGTGATAACAATTTCTCCCATGGGAGGATTCTAGTTCGCTTGTGGTAGTTGAGGGGCACTTCGGGCTAGGGGCTTGAGGAATTGCGTTGGCGGATTTACGTTTCCAAGGGGAAAACCTTTTCGTAAGGGTGGGAGAAGATGGGGGAAGGGGTCCGGTTTTAAATGAGCGCAGGTACCTTCTCAACAGAGGGGACACGGAAAAGAAGGGGAAATGCCGGGGGGGAGAATACGGGCATGGGCGTTCCTTCAGCGGGTGGGCGACCACAACAGAGCAGCAAGTCTTTCCCTGTGGGTGGACCGGTCGGTCAGAGGCTCGGCGACCCGGTACGTACTAAGTACTGTACATATGGAGTACGTACCGTATCAAAAGGAGGGTGGGGTGCTGTGGGGTGTCGGGGAAGGATGACGCACGCCCTAGAAGGGAGGGAGGACACACAAAAAAAAACCCCCTTCAAAGACGGGGCAGACATGTCTTTCCTTGGCAATGTCTTGACCACCCGGGCAAGATTTTCTTTTAGGTTGGCAGCTTTCCGGTCGTTCGAAAATACCCGGGGGGTGCTTTTCCCTTCTAAGTTAGAGCGGGTCTGTCGGGGGAAGTGGGGGATAGCATGGGGAAGGGTCCAGGATGTTGTGCGGGACCAGTGGAGGCGTGTCGATAAGACTTTAGGAAGAACGCAGGTACGTACCCCAGGGCACTCCGTGAGCAGGTACGTATGTACTCTACTCCTCACGTTCCCTGGCTACGGGGTTACCTTAGTCAGCACTCGTGCGTGTTGCGTCGGATACCTTATGGGACATGGTCTGTACTCGGTAAGGTAAGGTAAAAACGGGCATGTTCCATCAAGTCATTTCACTGTATTTCTGCTTCATCTATATCTCCTACCGAGACGTGATGTATCCAGGAACGGCAATGCCAAAACACAAACTGAGAAAATCTTTGCTGGACGTACAAGACCCTATTTCTGCCTAGTTTCGACTTCTAATCTGCTCACCTACCTATCGTGGAGCCGACAAGCGATTAGCATGACCAACGGAGATCGTGGGGCAGTGGGATAGTGGCTCAGTAACGGGCTTGTGCCATCGATAGCGACCGTGATTGGTGGATAGCTCGGGGATGTCAGTGGGGGGAAAAGGAAAGCAGAAATCTATCAGATTCGTTCCCCGGTCACTTGTCTTCGCCTAAATTAATTGCACAATCATCCCGTCCACTTGCTCATCACACTAACTGGGTCGGTAGAATGGGGAAGCGTGGGCGCCGCGGTGCGGGAGCTTGCATTGCTTAACAAACGAAAATCTGGGGAAGTCAACCTGGGAAGCGCGGACCAGTCCAGCCAGGCCAGGACACTTTTCGAGGCCAACTTCTGCTTCTTACAAGTTACGGAACAAGAGGCTATGGAATACGAAGCAGACAGAGACGAGTTCCCCGGATCCGACAACTGCTCATTGAAGTATCCTTGCATGGGGACTTATCAGGGCAACGCGCAGTTCCGCAAGGACAATTCGGCCCTGATGCTTTGTCGTCCGTTTGGCCGTTTGTTGGTTGGATAGCCCCGGCGGTCCTATACCCCTTGGCTATCGTTTCCCAGGCAGTCAGCTACCAGCTCTCTTGCCTCGTTCGCTGTCGCTTTGCTTTTGCAGTCCACTCATCTCAGAGAAATACCTTGGCGACATGGATACAAAGGATTCTTGGGAGGCCTGGCCAAGTCATCACGGCCACACCAAATCAGAAATCCCATGTTCATGACTGTCGAATAGAATAACTGAGACGATATGGCGAGACTTTTGAGGCTTGTCAGCTTGTCCCACCTGGGGCTTCTACCCCGTTATCGATCAATCTGCGATCATTTGCGAAGACTACCCCATACATTGGATCACCCTTATGGTTAAAGTGAATCCTTGGCGACTCAAATTACTTCGTGACAGGGAGAAAGAGGGTTTGTTCTGGTAGACCGCGGATTGCAGCCGACCCAGACAACCCGTCCTTGGCCATTCACACGTCCCTCAACCCCAGCTTGTTTGAGACTCCTAGCCCGCCCAATGTTGTCCTTCCGCCGCACATCTTTTCCATCCAATAAATTCGGAGTACCCAGCCTTGTCCAGGGTTCTCATGCCCAGCATTGCGGGACTTGGGGGTTGCCCAGGTTCTGGAAATGATTTGTCCCCTTTATCTGTAGGCTGGCTGCAATGTCCATCATCTGCATTCTAAGGTTTCTCTTGTCTCAGTGAACGGTGGTTGCAGTGAACGGGCGTGTGATGGTGCCCAGAGTGGCTCAAACTTGTTGAGAAGAATATTCAACCAGGGCGGCTGTTGTCTTCCTAACCCACCACTTGACACACTCATATTCAGTACGGATCAGCGTATGCGGGCCAGCTGAAGGCGAGGCTCCCCCCCTGTAATTGATGCGCTTGATGCGCTGGAATGAGCATGATCGCCTTGAGGGTGGCTTGTTTGGCAATATTTCATACACACAGACAAAAGTGACTGGCCCATAGAAGTAGGTATCGATATAAGGAGTGTGTTTCAATAAGACGTCCGGCCCACTTCTAAGAATTAAGAGACCACTAAGTATCATGACGGCAGTATACTGTAGTAAACAGTTGCCTTGTGCTCTGGCTAAGCTCGGCTACGATTCGTGGGTGCTGTCTCGGTACGCCTCGGGAAATCCGACCGACCCAGCGGTCGCGAAGGCGCCTGTTGAAAATGCCCCCACCCCTCTCCCCACAGCAAGGCGAGGATTTACCTCGCCTTTATCCGGGGTATTGGCGTAACCGGATTCAGAAATGGAGATAATTACGTACACTGAATCTTCGCCGTCAAAACCTCTTCTTTGACTGACCACTGTATATAGGTCGCTGGGGTATGTAATTACTTAATTTTAGGTTTGCTAAGCCTCTATAATTCTGTTGAAATCTGGTTTCTTAAGAGGTCGAGCTCTTCTCGGATCGAACCGGTTTGGCCCAAGGCATCACCCATAACCCGGGACGAAACCCCCTTGTCAATCCGCGTGGGAGGTTCCCCGGCCCTACGGTGGGATTGCGTTTGCCTTTAGCATGTGCTATAGCATATGCTACGGAACGTCCTTTGAACTGGGTAAAACGTACATGTTGGGAGGTGTAAGCAATACCTCAGATAGCCGTCAGCTCTGCCGTCCTCAGCACGCTCAACTTTCTCTGGAAGAGGGTAGTGAGGCTGATAGGCTGATGGGACTAAGAAGCATGGCAGTTCTTGGCCATCTTCACAGTGTATTCACTCCCTCAGTTCAAATTGCGGATCCATTTCGTCATGGAAACGCCAACTGTCTAGATTGGCCTGTCTTCACAGGTCCTGGGCGTTCTAGGCCCGACATGCTTCATACGATGCGCCCGTTTCATTCAGTCTGGATAGCACACCGAACAATATCAGATACCAAATTCGTGGCTTTGGATGCGGGGAGGTTCCAGTAACAGGACATCCTCTCAGGGGCTTCCTGCACGAAGTACGGGAATAATACGACTTTAAATCATGTTTTCCGTAGAAGTGCTGCTCCCGCAGTACGCCAGGATAATAGAGAATAAAAATAAATATAAATAAAAAGATCTGATAACAAGGTTGCGGTTATCTTGCAGATATTGCGACAGGAAACAAGAGGCGTTACAGTTCTCTACCTATACTGCTGACTGATAACACCACCTATTAGTACACGCCCGGAGTACGCGAACCGTAAGCAGAAGATAACAGGAAACATGCCGAGTTGACCGAGATAAGACGAGTTTCGCGGGGAGGCTTATTATTGCAAGGGCCCGAAACTTAAGAAAACTCACCCCAGGTAATGACTTCGGGACCCCACATTGTCGCCTATTTCGTTTTGTTGCTTTGTTGGCGAGTCAGGCGCGATCTCGACGGGTGAGCGGAGATGACTTCACTGCCGCGGGACCAGATCGGACTTTCCTCGACGACATCACAGACGACATCATTCTCCTGTCATGCTCCTCGCCCCGCAGCAATTGGGCATTCACGGCCCTCAGGTTTTCATCAGAAGATGAAGCTGCCGGCGGGAAATTTTTACTCAGTTAAGTAAAAGAATTGGAACACGTGGGCGGGCGCTTCGGAGTTGAGTTGGCAACCAGATGGCTATCCGCACGTTGTACGTACGTTGTACGCAACTGCCATTAATAAAATGGGCTAGGAGGCACGCTGTCTGGTCATTCTGGGCAACAAGACGGACTTTGGGGCTTATTGTGTTAAGGAAGCCGGGGCGCGGGTATGCGGATAACATTGAACGATGCTTGTGGGGGAAGATAAGGATACTCCCCGGGTGTGTGCTATCCGAGTCCGCCGCTAATTATTTCTCTCCTTCGCAAGAACAGGATGTCCGCCTGGCTCTTCCGAGAAGACCCGACAAGGCTTTCGCTAACAGCTCAGAGTATCGTCCTTCATTTCGTACTGGCTCTTGCGCACCAAATAACTTCATGCTACGCACTCACCGCTCACCGCCAGGACGGAGTTAGGGCGATCCGAGAATGGGAAGTCTGTTATGATGGAGTACGTTGTAGGTCCACGAAGATAATCCGGCAACGCTGAGAGTTGTCTTTCACATGCCCCGAACTACTCCGTAGCATCGATCGATCCCCCAACCCTCTTACCCCCCCCCCTAAAAAAAAAAAATTAATAATAATCTCCTCTCTTCTCCGAGTCCAGCCCTGCGAACGTACCTATTTCTCCAACCCCACTATCCAGTTATAAGAGCCCGATCTCCCTCCGAACCGAGGACGCCTTATCGGATTCGGAAAACCGAGACGTTCGCACAAGGCTTTCGTTCCCGATAGCACGTCTCAGGGTGTCTCTCGGCAGGTAAACCGGCCACCAGGGTACTGCCGCGGGCTAGATTTGCATCTGTGAATCTGATAATTATAGACCTAATCGCAGTACGGAGTACTTCGGTATGAAAGCAACATGGCATTGTCCCACTGATTAGAGGTAGGCGGTGTTTTTCTCATGATACATTTCTTCCAGACTTTTGCAAGGGAAGGCTTTCTACGTGAATCTGACCCCTCCTTAACGTTTCTAAGGCGAATTACAAAGCCCCGAGTAACACCTAGGCAGAGTGCGACCTGGCCTTGGCCTCGACCCGGACATCAGTAGGATCAGTAGGACGCCAGGTGCCACGTAATACCCGTCGGAGTAGAGAGTGGATGAGAGCGCGGGGCACTACGCTTCTTTCGCCGCAAGAATGAACTGAATACATACATATGTCAGATGGATCTGCTCCAGGGATGCTGCTTTTTAATCCCCCGACGAATGCACCGGGGTCAACAAGCGTCAACATCTTGGAGACTTGGTGTAATGAGGGACGTTTTGATCTGCTAACAGTGGCTGCTCCCTCCCGCGAGAGCATGCCGACCAGAGGGCGCTGACTCGTCGCGAGGGCGCCGGCCGACCCGGGTGCCTAGCGCGAATCTCTGATAAACTTTCCCAAGGGATTGTGTTCCAGAATTGTTTTCCATGCGACCGGCGTTCCCTAGTTCGAAAGTAACGTTTAACAAACGGGCAGGGTTCCGCGGGGAAATAGTGCAACGGCTACAAAGGCAGGTTAATAAAGCTTCAGGCGACGCCCCCACGTCGACAAGGTCATCCCACGGTATCGCGATCTGGGGAACTTTTGGGCTTTCCTGAACGGGGAGCGATGCCGAGACTTGGGGGAAATCATTCAGGCGTCCGTGGAAACGGTTCTTTACAAAACACTTCCCTTTTAAACTAAGCTGCCGCATTGGCTGACGAAAAGAGCCGAAAGAGGCTGATGGTTCGAGGACGGGGCAACAAGCTCCGCGATCATATAGTGATGGGCGATATAGGCCAAAGGCCGTCGTCCTTCGTCCTCCCGTGGTAGATATTAGGAATGCTATTGTATTATCTCGGGCGATTGCCCTAGGACGGTAATGTGCTACAGTCTTCCTTCTAGAACCGACCTAGGATAAATGAGAGGCCATCCCGATGAGAAGCAACAACGCGTTCCTTGACCTATTTTGCGACCTTAAAGTCTAGGTAGCATGCCTAGCCGCCGTCAACTAATAAGCGGAGTACTGATACACCTGACTTGGGCAAGTTAAGTTCCATGGTTACGCAGGTGTCGTCGGCCTCTGGATATATAGGATCATTAATTTTAACCAGTTGCTTGGTTGTCTGGTTTCTCTCTGGGAGACGGTGTGAGTACGTCTGGATAATTACTGTACATGTACTGTACCACATGCCGGCGACTGAGAAGTGGAGACCAGTACGGCATCAGCTCGATTTCATGAGCCTTTCGCACGGTGCGGCATCGTAACTGTTCGCAACTACCCCGAGACATGGCTGTGAGCCACACGTCGCGTCGCCCTTCGTCCAACGGTGCGAATAATGGACCGCTACCACGCGTACCACGAAAGAGACGAAGCGAGCTTTGATCTCTCGTCTACACGTAAGCTTCTTACTCTTTCTTGAGCCGTCCTATCGAGTGATCTGCTGACTGGAGGAAACCTTCCGCCTCCCAAGACCGTCTTCCTCCCGTTTCCGCCGCAGATGCACTGGAAGACCTGGATAATAATGTATCTCGATATGTCTCAACGGGTCTAGAGGACCTGGACAAGGCGCTCTCGTCTTCCTCACCAGAAGTCCTGGTGGCATCAGGACAACTTGGTGTTCCGCGAGGACAAGTGACTGAGATCTGGGGGCCACCAGGCTCCGGGAAAACGGGCCTTGGGTGAGCTGTCCTCTAGATCCCGCGTGGTTCCCCTTCGATTCTATTTTACTTCATGCTGACACACCGATATAGGATACAAGTCGTTGCCAATGCGCTGTCCTGTGGCCAGGGCGCAGTTTGGGTTGGTTCGTATTCTCTCCGCGCGCTTCTGGACCCCGAGAGCCACCAAGGCTCGTCCGCACGTCTCTGGACAGAACGTCTCTGGACAGAAAGCTGACATATCTGTCGGATCGACTGCACAGATTGTTCGTACGTCGTTTGTGGGCGTCGCCTTGAACGCGTAGTTCGCACGGCCTATACCGAGACTGGAACAACGGGATCCTCACCCACCTCCTCCCCATCCGGTAAAGAGACTCTACGCAATTCGACTACAGAGAACAACAAGTTTGTCCACTACGCTTGTCGAACATTATCGCATTTTCTCGCAGCCTTGTGTCAACCTACGGGAACAACCTTACCAGATGAAACGGCCGTCGTCATCGTAGACTCACTCTCCGCTCTCATCAACCATGCCTTCCCTAAAGTTCCCGAAGACCGGTCTGGAGCTAAGCCTGGGACCTCCTTCCGAAAACGTAAAGACGCAATGAGAACCCCATGGACACAGAGTCCTCATTTATCTTTCCAACCTTCTGAAGCTGACGTGAGTGTGACACTACGGCAGGACGAGGGTCGGCGGCTAGGCTACAAACTTTGCAATACGTGATCGGAGCGTTGCAGAAGCTGGCAGCGACGCGCAACTGCGCCGTCGTAGTTCTGTCGCAGTGCGCGACGAAAATGCAGTCTGAAAACGGCGCGACCTTGATACCATCCGTCAACGCCAGCGTGTGGGATCAAGGCATCTCAACGAGAATCGTTTTGTTTCAAAACTGGGTGTGGAGAGACAACGTCCCGTCCACGGTATGTTTTGCGGGGGTGCAGAAGAGGGAAGGGGCGTTGCTTTCAATGGCGGTCCATAACGCGGCTGCGTTTCGCGTACAAGAGGTCAGTCAGTGCTATTTGGTCTGTACATTTGGTGCAGCGAGGCGTGATTCTGCTTTCGTTCAACCAGCTGAGGGGGGGGGGGGGCATCGTCTCGGCCGACATGCGCGGTACTGACGGTAGCTTTCAGACGGGTCTGGTCAGTATTAAGTGCGATACAAGCCAGCCTCCCATTGCATTGTCAACGACTCCACGCCCTAAGCGCAAGCTCGCCGATTCTGCACTCGAAGTACCCGACAGTGACGAAGAAGATGAAGATTACGGTTGGGGGGAGGAAGACGATGCCGCAGCTCCTATCCCGCCGCAAACCCAGGGCAGTGAGGACCTGCTACTCGGTGTCCATCGGCATGAGGAGGAGGACGAAGATGGCGATGATCACGACACGCACCACGTGGGCGAAGAGGACGACGAAAGTGAAAACGATGGTGGGGTCCGAAAAAGCCGAGACGACGCCCAAGCAGTCCCCCTGGCAAATGAGAAATAAACTCTTGCGGCTGAGCTGAGTTGTGGAGTTTCCACTGTCCGGGGCAGTACACGTGTACTGGATTTTCTGAACACGATCCGACGGCGAACCCCACCAGTAGAAACACTGCCTCATTGGGGATTCGTCTTGCTTGAGCCTCACTGAGCCGTTACACTATGTTTATCGCAAGGACTTGAGGGTCAAAACTGATCAGAAAAATCATCGGGTTTGCCACCTTTCGATTCGGAGATAGACGTTTTCAGTGGCTCTTTTTCGTCATCTCCGGAAGGCCGTTATTATTTCCCATGATTCGGGGTTTCTTGCGGCTCTATTTTCCCAAATAGCGCAAGGAGGGGCTAGGCCCGCGGTTAGGAAGTGGAATGAATGTGAAGTCAACTGTCGAATCGAGTGCGAGTCTTGGAGCCCTCCACTCAAGCTAAGTTATTAAGAGATCCGACCTACCTACCGTTATCTCGGCTCCCGGGGCTCCTCGGTCAATTGAGCCGGGTATTCACCGAACTTGGTTGGCGCTCCACAAAGACGCCGGCCGAAGGTGCCAGTGGCTTAGTTGACTGGAACCACATACTTCGGTAGGATAAGGGGGGGAAGGGGGGAAAAGAAAGGGGGACAAAAGAGAAGAATTTTTTTTTATCCGATACGTTCACATGCTTCAGAATGTATAGAGACTTGGCCTAGCCAGCTGTTTCCCGCCTGCCCGCCTCTTCAGGCGTTTTTAGCCCCATCAAGTCCCGAGGCCTAGATAGGTATGAAGTACCGTTGCCTATCCACAGCCACCCCATGCTTTACAGCGGTACTTTCTCTCTGCACGAAGGCGGGAGGCGACGTAGCCCAAGCAATTCTGCCGCGCGATACCATTAAGGCCAACTTAGCCGACAGCAACTCTGATAGTCACGGCATTATTCCGGGCTAGTTCGGGTGTCTGCCCTACTATATTTATCCGGATTGCCTCCCCAAAGGTTTACGGTACTCATCATTCCTCGAACCGCCCGCTCATCGCGTGTCTAACGGGTCTTTGCCGCCATGTCCAACCGGGAGTTGACAGTCTTTTTACCAAGGGTGGATGTGGCGCTATAACTGCCGAAGCAATATTTCCAAGTCTTCTGAGTCGGAGGGCTTGCTTTCAGATTAGGTCCGTCCAGTCTGGGGTTTTCTCTTCTACAATTAGTGACAGCAAGCCATCGGATGCAGGAACCTTTGACCCTAGTCCCTATAGGGCGGTACAATGGGCCTTTGATCAGAGCTCTAGCCTCCTTATAATACTTGGCCAATCCTATCCTAGTTGCACACTTCATTCGGACCACCCCTTGTCTCGTTAACCGCGGAAGTTGCCCCCTGTTCCCGCTCAATCTACGACGTACGAAGTACGGAGGTTCATTAGAGAAGACGACAGGGGCGTCTTCCGTAAGGACAGGAAGGTGCAGGCTCGGCATGCGTTGACCGATTCATCAACCCGGTGACCGGTGAAAGGGAACCAACTTACTTGACCGTTTGGAAGGCGGAGAGAGGTGGGAAGCACCCTGTCTTTTCGGATGTTCGGCCAGCTGCTTTCTCAAGCGTCGCAGTACCTACATATATAGGAGGGGCAGGAGATGCAACTTCGTGCGTCCGCGTCATGACGACATTGCGACATTTTTCCCTGTCTGCATCTGCACCAAGATTGTCCTTTTGTCTGTCTGTCGGGCCGGAGGTTGACGAACCCGGAAAGCCCGCCTTTCTGACTTTACCCCAGTTTTACGGACAAGAGAATGCGGACAAGCGGCGGAGCGGGAAGGGGGTAACTCCTAACTCCCTATCACAAACACACCTGCAGCGTAGTAGTGCGGCTAACAGGCACATGTACATGTCGATCATCGTTCTTCCTCCGACGACACCAAGCCTCGTCGAGGGTCGAGACCGTCGTGCGACCCCTGTAGGTGCAATGGTCATTTGAACGTATCCCCTGGCTTTCTGCATCGCCGACGGGGGACTGCATATGTAATCTTTCCTCTTCTTTCGTGCAGGCCGAGGAGAATATATTGATTTGCGTCTTTCCCTCGGCCTCGACCTCCTCATAATAATCGGACCGCTTGCGATTACGCCGAGGCTGATGCGGCGTACCCTTCTCAAGCCCCTCAAAATCGAACCACGGCGTCTTTCATCTCAGACCACCCCCGGTCCCGTCCTGCGAAAGTCGTGCAACTTGGCACCGCGATGTACCTACCACCGTCGGGATTGTTGGTCGACGGTCCATTCCACATCGGCCTGACCTGGCCCACTGAAAGTTCTCGGGCGACAGTTCAGCCGAGTCGCAAGTTTACATAATACTCAGTATAGCCGAGTCTATCCCTCTCGATATAATGATATAATAGATTGCATAATCGCACTGCCTCGATAATGCGCTTTTAGTACCAAGGACCCTTTTGATGGGTTATCGTCACCGCCTTTGGCAAAATCGCGACTCTCCACTAAATTTCGACGCGGTCATGAGTGAGGCTCCAGGAAGGAGAGGAAAAAAAAAGGGAAGGACCACTCGAGAGCGCAAGGAGGACCTCACATACACACATGACCCGGGGCACAGCACAGCACAATCTTTCTCCTCCAACGTCAGATATCCTCTCATGCTCTTAACCACTCACTGCGCTAGCGTATGGTGTATTCTTACTACTCGTTCAATTTGTCAATTTCATGCGTCCCCCCGGCTTGGGAGGTATTATCAGGAGTCCAAGGCTCGTATCCAGAAGATTCATTCTCGCCGTCTCAACCCCAAGGCACAGCAAACCTCTGACACGCCAACCGGGACTCATTCCTTGGCGACTTGTCAGGAAAATAACCATGACGTCAGGGAACCAGGCACCCGCCGTCACCAAAGCAGCTACTGGAGAGGGGGAGACGGTCACGTACGACGGCAATGAGTATTCCATCATTCGGGAAGGCCTGGCGGACATCCTCGTCCCGGCCTCGCTGAGACAGAAGGATGGAGGAAAAGCAAGTGATGAACAGCAGGTGTTCTACAACCCGATCCAGCAGTTCAACCGTGATCTTTCGGTCCTTGCCATCCGGGCGTACGGGGAAGACGCGCTGGCCAACCGGAAATTGAATGTTGCGGAGAAACGGCTCGAGAAGGAGAAGAAGAAACGCCGCAGGGCCGAAGGAGATGACGGGAACGACAGGCCGGCCAAGGTACAGGTCTCTGCGGGGGACGCGCCGGGCAAGGCCGCCGCCATCGCGGTGGTGGTGCCAGCTACCGGGTCTTCCGTGGAAGAGGCCGAACCACAAACGCAAGAAAAACAGGGTTCGGTCGAGGAGGGCGAGGACGAGGACGAGACAAAGACGGAATCCACAATGCGCCCTCGCTTCACCATCCTAGATGCCCTCTCCGCCACGGGCCTACGTGCTCTACGCTACTCGCACGAGCTGCCGTTCGTGACGTCGGTCACGGCCAACGACCTGACCAAGTCAGCGACCGAATCGATCCAGCTCAACGCCAAGCACAACAAGCTGGGGGACAAGATCCAGGTCAGCCACGACGACGCCATCGCGCACATGTACCGGCGCATCGCGGACGACCTGTCGCAGCGGGACGCGCGGGGGCGGCCGGGCAAGAAGAACAAGTACGACGTGATCGACCTCGACCCGTACGGCACGGCGGCGCCGTTCCTCGACGCGGCGGTGCAGGCGGTCCGCAACGACGGCGGGCTCCTCTGCATCACGTGCACGGACGGCAGCCACTGGGCGGGCCACTCGTACGTCGAGAAGAGCTTCTCGCTGTACGGGGCGTCGCCGATCAAGGGGATGCACTCGCACGAGGTGGGCCTGCGCATCATCCTCCACACGGTGGCCAACATCGCGGCGCGGTACGGGTTGGCGGTCGAGCCGCTGCTCTCCCTGTCGATCGACTTCTACTGCCGGATCTTCGTCCGGGTCCGGCACAACCCGCAGGCGGTGAGCTTCCTGGGCGGCAAGACGATGCTCCTGTACCAGTGCGCGGGCTGCTCGGCGTGGGAGACGCAGCCGCTGGTGCGGACGCGGCTGCACCCCAAGAAGAAGGAGGGCTACTTCTTCAAGCACGGGCTGGCGCAGGGCCCGACGGTGGACGCCAAATGCCGGCACTGCGGCTCGACGATGCACGTGGGCGGACCGCTGTACGGAGGGCCCATCCACGACCAGGGCTTCGTCCGGCGCATGCTCGACCTGCTCCCGACGCTGGACAGTAAGGTGTACGGGACGATACCGCGGATGGAGGGCATGCTGACGACGGCGCTGGAGGAGCATCTCCCCGGGCCGGAGGGGGAGGAGGAGGAGGGGGCGGAGGGGACGGAGGGGCCGGAGGGGGCAGAGGAGTCGGGACAAGTAGGGCTAAGGGTAAGGGCTGGTGTGGACCCGCGCGAGGCGGAGATGGCGAGGGTGGACCATGCGCCTTTCTTCTTCATGCCGTCCAGGCTGTCGGGGGTCCTCAACTGCCAGGCCATGCCGGAGAACCTGTTCCGGGGGGCGCTGAAGCATCTCGGGTACCGGGTCACGCGCAGCCACTGTCGAGCGGGCAGCGTCAAGACGGATGCGCCCTGGGAGACCATCTGGTTCGTGATGAGGGAGTGGGTGCGGCAGAAGGCGCCGGTCAAGACGGAGAAGATCAAGCCTAACACACCGGCGTATGCCCTTCTCGGACTGGGTCAGACGGGCGATGATGCGAAGGCGAAGGCGAACGCGAGCACGGGCACGGGCACGAGCACCGGCGCGAGCAAGGCAGAGGAGGGGGAGGAGGGGGAGAAGGACCAGCCGGCTTCAGACGAGGAACTGCGCAAGACGTTGGTTTTCGACGATGCTTTGGCCAGGCTAGGGAAAGATAAAGCGAAGGGCAACAAGCGGCTGGTGCGGTATCAGGTCAATCCGCGGGAGAACTGGGGACCGCTGACTAGGGCAAGGGGACGTTGAGAATGTTTCACCGGAGTGCCTAGATAGAGAGATTTTATACTCATGAAGGGTAGTAGAGCTTCTGGAATTTACAGAGCTTTGACTTGTAACTTTGCATGAGTTTAATTTTGATCATGGCGATGATGGTGATGATGGTGGTGTTGTGATGGTGGTGATAGTCAGCGACCAACCACTCCGTCGCACTGTCACACCGTCGCAATAAGACGGGCAGCTTCAACTTCCCAAGGCCCCCTCCCTCCCTATTTAAGGTCCACCATCTACAGCGGACGACCCCGCCGCTTTATTCCGTGTCATCCGGCAAAAAAAAGAAGAAAAAAAGAAAACCCCCCCCCCCCCCCCCCCCCCCCCCCCCCCCCCCCCCCCCCCCCCCCCCCCCCCCCCCCCCCCCCCCCCCCCCCGACGCCCAGAAACTCCGCCGCCAATCTCTCCGCTCACCACATTGCATTAACCGCAATCATTCACGTATTATCCCGGATAGGACACACCAGCTCAATCCATCATCTCCATGCCCTCAAACCAGGACCCCGCGATTCGACAGGCGGGAGAGCTGCATCTCCAGGATGGAAAGCTGAACTACACGACGATTGACGATCACAAGGAACAGTCTTCACTTCCAGAGGAGATTGTCTTCGTTCTCAAGTCAACCAGCCCGCCCCTCACAGGGCACTCCGAACGTTTCCTCGTCGCATACCTGAGGGAAGACAGCGAAGCCCCTGGACAGCCCTACACACTCCACCTCATCCAGACCGATCATGTCCCAAATAGCCTACTAGATAGCCACCTCATCTCTGGTCTGCCAAACCACCTCAGCCCCGAACACGCGATACATATCATTGTTTCCACCAAGGCAGGGACAGGTCTGGCTCTCGCGTGTTGGGAGACTGTAGTGCGACCGCTTCTCAAGTTGCTCTTCTCATCGATACCGACAGGGCTTGGAGATGAAAATGGCGACGGAGAAAGGTATCACGTCCTTACGACTCGGTCAGCGCAAAGCATCAAACAGTTTGCCAAATCCCTCTGCTCGAGAAGGCAGAGCGCCACCACCACCCACCCCGAGACAATCATCCTGCTATCCGGAGACGGGGGCGTCATCGACCTCCTCAACGGCCGCGAGGACACAGACAATAACGGCAACGACGACGGCGACCACAAGTCTCCCTCGACAAACGATCCATTGCCCACCATTGCCCTCCTCCCGCTAGGCACCGGTAACGCCCTTTTCCACTCCCTGCACAAACCGCTATACGACAGCAGCGCAGCCCGGACGACCGCCGTACCATCTCCGCTCGTCCTCGGCCTCAGGACCCTCTTCCGCGGCCGCCCCGCCCCGCTTCCTTCTTTCGACGTCAGCTTCTCCCCGGGCTCCCAACTGGTCTCGTACGACGACGCTGACGCCCCCTCCCCCCATCGGCATGATAGCCAGGTCTCGCGTCTCACCGGCGCCATCGTCGCCAGCTACGGCTTCCACGCCCAACTCGTCTGGGAGAGCGACACGCCGGACTACAGACGACACGGAGACAAGCGCTTCGGCATGGTCGCCGCGGACCTGCTGCGTGAAAGCCACGCCTACAACGCCCGCGTGCACATCCATCCCGCGTCTTCCTCTTCCCTCTTCCCTTCCTCCCCTTCTCCTCTCTCGCCATCCTCGCCCTCCCACGAGATTCGCATCACAAACCACCAAGACGACGACGACGACGACACAACCGCCGCCGATGGTCCGCCCGGCAAATTCAGCTACGTTCTCGCCGCCATGGTCTCGAACCTCGAGCGCACATTCACCGTCTCCCCCGCCAGCCGCCCCCTCCATCCCGCCCTGCATCTCGTCTACTTCGGCCCCGTGGGCGGCGAGCGCACCATGGAGATCATGAAGGCCGCGTATGACGGTGGGAAGCATGTCGCCTTGCCGGACGTCGGGTACGAGGAGGTTTCGGCCTTGCGCGTCACTGTGCTGGAAGCCGATGCGCGGTGGCGCAAGGTTTGCATCGACGGGACTGTTGTTGAGATGCCCCACGGCGGACAGATGACCGTGAGCAGGATGGAGAGGTCGTTGTTTGGCGTTTTGGTGGATTCTTCGCTCCTTGGCTAACGACGTTTTTTTTTTCTTCCTCTTGGGGGTTTTTTTCCCTTTTCTTCTTCCAATGGTTGCATTTCGATATCAGAAGACATGACCGGACGGAAATGACAGCACGACTAAAGAAAGCGATGATAAATAGAGAGGACAAGACGTCATATAGAGCAGCAGAGCTGAATTGGACTCAACCGAACCGAGTTTGCACCCTTTACCTTGTCCACGGGTGGGTAGTAGTGGTATAACTCTCGCCTACCCTAACATCTTAGCCACCCTCTTCTCAATGCTCTCTGCAAACTGGGTCGTGCCGTTTTCCAGCTCGGTCAATTTCCCCCCTCGCATCCGGTAGACCGTCCTCCGCCTCGAACTCTCCTCCTCGTCTCCGTCTCCGTCGTCCACATCCCTCTCTTCGTCATCGCCGTCGTCCATCAACCCTTCGACCACGCCGCGCATGAACCACCTGTCATGGCTGACCAGTACCACCGCACCCGCCCAGTCGCGCAACGCCTCCCGCATGGCCGTCACCGTCTCGTAGTCGAGGTGCGTCGTCACCTCGTCGAGGACCAAGCAGTGCGGGCACCGCCAGAGCAGCCGCGCCAGCTCGCACCGCACCAGCTGTCCTCCCGAGAGCTTCGTCAGGGGTACGTCGGACGCGAGCCGGCCCGGCAGCCCCAGCGCCCCGAGCAGCCCGCGCACCTCGCCCTCGTCGAGAGCACCACCGACCTCCCGCGTCAGGAGAGAAAGCGCCGTGAGGGATGCGTCGTCTCCCCGGCCGACGAGTGCCTGCAGACGTTCCACCGCATGCTGCGAGTAGTAGCCGAGTTTGAGTCGGGGGTGCGTCGTTACCGTGCCCGACGACGGCTTCGTCCCGTCTGCGTCTACGAGTAACTTGACCAGGGTGGACTTGCCCGCACCGTTCAGGCCGAGGATGCCGACACGGTCACCCATGTGGACGGAAAGGTTGACGTCTTGTAACGCGGCTGGGGAAGCGGGTGCTCCGGTCTCGCTCTTGTTCTTACGCTTGGTCGGATAACGAAACGTGGCCTTCTCGACGGAGATGAGCGGCCCCGGAAAGCGCAGCTCGGAAGGTTCGGGGACGACGAAGCTCGCCGGCCTTTCGTCCTGCGGAATATCGATCTCGTCTCGGGCGGTGAGATGGTAGCCAGCCACGTCACGGTTAAGCTTGAACCTGCCCCCCTTGGCGCTTACTTGCAAGCCCCAGCGGTCATCTAGCTTCTTCTGCCTTGACTTTGCTTGGCGCAGCTTGTTCTGGTCGTCGTTGGCCTTGCCGGCCTTGAGATTATTGGCGATGCTCTGCTGAATGTGCGCCTTTTGCTTGTCTTGGGCCTCTTTCATCTTGGTCAGCCATAGTTTCCTCTCCGACTGGGATGCCTCGTATGTGGGAAGGTCTCCGTGGAAGTATGTCAGCTGCTTGTCTTTCAGGATGAGAAGATCCGTGCAGAGGGTGATGAAATCGCGGTCGTGGGAGACGACGACGAGCGTAGGAGCATCATCAGCATCTTCCAGCGACTTTAGGTACTTCTGCAACCAGATGATGCCGAGAAGGTCAAGGAAGTTGGTGGGCTCGTCGAGGATGAGAATGTCTGTCTCCTGTAGCAGAGCTGTGGCAAGGGAGGTTCGCATGCGCCAACCCCCTGACAGACTCGACACGGGCTTGGCCATGTAGTCCTCGGAAAACCCCAGACCTGCAAGTATCTTCTTCGCCTTGGACTCGATCTCCGCAACCGTGGTTGGCTCTACTTGCAGTTGTAGGTCGGCAAGCATATCAATAGCCTCATTCGTCTCGTTCTTGAGTGTCTCGGCAGAGATATTTTCGGCAGGCTGCCCAATACTGACAGACGTGTTTAGGTTTTGGTCTTTGATACTGCCGGCTAGGCACACGCATGGGGGAAATAGGTTTGGGGGGGGGGGGGGGGGGGGGGAGGGGCATGTTGGTTTGGCCTTACAGGGCTTCAGACTCCGCGGTGGTCTTCTCAAAGGCCGTGAGTGCCTTGCGAGCGGCCATACCCCTGGCCCCGCTTCGCAGCCTGGCGTCTTTGTCCAACAAGAAGAGTCGTTTCTGATTCCTATGATGGCGTATGGTGCGTAGGGCACGAACGGGGCCCATGGGGTCGGCTTCGTTAATGCCCTTTGACAGTGCTATGACGATGGCGAGGACGTGTAAGCGCGGTGTCTAAAAACGACTGGGGTCGTGGGAAAGCTTCCCACCTCTAATTTCCTGCTCGACATCTGAGCGAGCTGTGGCCTTCTCGATGACCTCTTCCAGGACATTACCATGACGCTCGGGTGCCTGAGGCTCGGTTCGGTCCTGCAAAGAAGCAGCATCTGAAGAGAAGTGATCCGTATCGGGAATTTGGGCATTGGTCTGCTGCAAGATGGAAATGCGAGTCTCTTCAGGAATCCCAGGGATGAGCTTTTCAGCAATAGCCTTCAGAAAAGCTGAGGCCCACGGGATCGGCCATTAGTTGGGTGGTCAAACCGATGCGTATAAGATGATGGAGGGGAAGAGGCTTACTCGACTTGCCAGACCCATTCCTCCCGACAAGAGCATACCGCTGGCCGGCCTTGAGCCTCAACTTGGCGTTGGCGAGAATCTCGACACCTACACTGCGGGCCTTCGCCTTTCCCTTGGCGCCGGACGTCTTCTTGTTGCCGGCCGTTACAGTGATATGGAGTCCATCAATGTCCAACTATGTCATGTCCGGGATTGTGTCAGTGAACAAGAAGACGAGAAGGCACAGCACACGAACCTCGCGCAAGTCGGCCGTCTTGATGTCGAACCGTGTCTGCTTGCTAGTACATAGAATGGTCGACACCGACTCGGAAGCTATTGAAGTCATGGTGAATAAGGCTTTTGTCGAATGAAGCGAAAGAGAGGGCTGCTGTCGAGGCAAGGAAGGGAATGAACAGGACAAGGTTGAAAGAAAGGGGATTATGGCTTTACATGTAGAACATGTTTTAATGGCAGATGGACAGCATTATCCTGTTCCGAGACGCAAGGAAGTTCATCTGATATATGTCTGTCGCGACCATGGAATGTGGATGGAAATGTGGATGGAAAGTTGGTGTCTGACGAGAACAAGGATGTTTTGAGCCGAGTTGCAACATAAGAGGTCGACTGGAAGTACTTGCTACCCCCATGGTCCCAAGCATGGCCAGTACCTGGTTCATATTCAAGACACCAGACTGCGAGTCCAATAAGGTAGGTCTTCAATTTGGAAGCTAAGGTAACAAGTAACATCAGTACGTCACACACACAGTACCTCGTACTTCTCGGCTTGCATCGTGGTCCTGTGAGTCACGCCGATGACTGGTGAATTACGGACTCCAGGAGCGTTGAGTTCCAAGCACAATACACAACTTTTCTGAAGAATCCAGATTCTCTCGGAAATCGGGCGTCAGCGTGCAGACAGAATACCGAGGAAATCCACCCCCCACGCACACAATGTATAGAACACACGGTATAGGAGTGAAGTATTAAGATGTTAAAATAGGTACGGTCCGGATCAGAGTGAGGACGTGACAATCCCCTCCAGCTCACCAAGCCAGAATCGTAATCGTAGGTACAGCGGCGAGAAACCATGTACAACAGCCAACCCGAATAAGGTACCGCAAGCTCCAAGCCAATCGCCCTCGCCGTGCATGGAACTCCCTCAGCTTTCACCACCGTACAGCATAAGGTAGTGCAGGCGTAGGCATGAGTAGTGTTTGAAGATCCAGCAAAATCGTAAACAAGATCGAGGCGCCTCAATATGAATTGCAAACCAAAAATGGCAGGGGGAATCATAAGACGATGCAAAAAAAAGAAGAAAAAAGAAGGAAAAAAACCCGGAGAAAAAAGTGGCCAAACCAAAAACATCGCAACAGAGCACAGTATGTTTATAACGGATGCCTAGGCCACAGGGCCCAAGAAAACCGGCATTCTCCGACTCTTCATTAGACTCATAACTCGTGGTACGCTAGCGGAACGAGAAACCAGGTCCTCGCCCCGTGGGACCAGAAGGGAATCCCAACCAGCGCCTCCAGGTGTACGAGCTTGTGGCGATCAGAGCAGAAGGGCAGCGAAGGCGATGCCGGCAACGAGGGCAAGGCTGGCGGAGCTATGGACAGAGTCGGCGGCGCCCTCTGGAATGGTCGGCGGGCTGGCCGTGGGTTCGGTCTCGGGCCCATCGACCACATCCTCCTCCTCCTCCTCCTCAACGTCATCCTCCTCGACGTCCTCCTCGTCATCGGGGCGGGCGGTAACCGAGGGAATGTGATAGGCCGACGTCGTGGAGTTGGCATACCAGGCGATGCTGCTGGTCGGGACGATGGAGCTGGTGGGCGGGACGTACGACGAAGTCTCTTCGGCGATGGCGCTGGAGCTGGGCACAACAACAACAACCTCGGAGGTGGACTCCGGAACCTGGGAGGAAGACGACGACTGAACCTCCTCGGCGGCAACGACCGGCTCGAGAGACGCGTCCAGGGTCAGCCCGCCAACAACGCCGAAGTCGGATGCGCACTGCTCCAGATCCTGGCCCTCAGGGCAGCACCACGTCTCCAAGTCCGAGTCGCATGTGCAGAAAAATGCGGCCAAGCAGGAACCTTGAGAAGCGAGTAGAAAGCCAGTGTTAGTCATGCTTACAAAAATAGGACGCGCCAGGGATGAGGATGATGTCCCAGACATGAGAGAGAGAGAGAGGAGGGAGGGGAATCGAGAGAGAGCCAACTTACTGCCACTGCCAGTCGAGCAGCAAGACTCCTCATCAGCAGGGTTGAAGCAGTGGATGGCCGAGTCGGAGGAAGAGCACTGCTCGTATCCCGCACCGCAGGCCTCAGCGCAGGTGTTGCCCGCTCCGGAGCAAACCTCATCCTCGGGCTGGTACCCGTCGTCCTGGCGGCGGAAGACGCCCAGATCGCGGAGGGACTGGTTGGCCCTGGTGAAGATCCTGGTCTGCTGGGCGGTGGCCTGGGCCGCGAGGGCCACGACGGCGAGGGAGGCAATGGACCGGTACTGCATGGTAGTGGAAGCGGATGGACTTTTTGCCTTATGCGTACGCGTCGAGCGATGGACGATTGCGTCGTCGGTTGGACTTGTTTCTACGTTTCCGACGGATTCGAGGTCACTCTTTCAAACAGGAAGACTGATGATAGAGGCGCAGGGGTTCGAGCGAGCGTGTAAGCAAACGGAGGTATAATAAAGAATGGATCGAGTACGAGTACTCTGGAGAGTCAAAAGAGTGACGAAGGCGACCGAAGGCCAGAAGCCGAAGCAAATGCTGATGCAAGGAGACGACTTGATGGGCGTTTGGATGGAGATGAGGAAACGAGAAAGGACAAAACCAACGGGGGGGAGGAGACGACAGAAGAAGGGGCGGGAAATCGCACTCAACCCAACTGGTTGATTAGTGGGTCACTTGTCCGGGCTACAGCACTATACCCAAGCGGTGACTGGCGTGGTCTCGGCAGGGGCAGGCTAGACCTGAGTACATATACTTGGGATTGCTAGGAAAACTGTAAAACCGAGATGTACCTCCGAATGGATCGAACAAACGTAGGTACCAGTCGCCATTTACGGTAGGTCGCAACGGTTGAGTCCAAGAAAGGGAGGATCAACCCTAGGTCTAATTTCCACTCTGATTATCTCTATTTCAGCAAACCATACGGAGTACAGACAGACGACTGCTTTTGCGTGGTGAATATCGACACTGCCAGCTGAATAAGGAGAGTCAAGGAGAATCAGGAGCCAGTTGTGGGTGGTATGGAAGAAAGGTGAAGGTCTTTTCCATTTCCATTTCCATTTCCATTTCCTTTTTTTTTCTTTTTCTTTTTTTCCCCTTGTTTTTCCTTTCCTTTTTTTTATATAAAAGCCGCACTCTTCTTGAGCGAGTCAAACCAGTCCACGTGTACTAGCACGGGTAGCACCTGTACAAAGCACAATGCATTGTCGACACTAAGCACACAACGGCTGGCGGACAACCCGTCTTCGAGAATCAACGAGTTGTCCTGTCCCCCGTCATCCATCCGCCGACACGTTTGGATCGTTCAGTGGCAGGGTTTTCTGGCGACCAATCTTAGTCGGGGCGACTGGTCAAGCCTCTCTCCGTTCGACGTCGTATTGTGAACGGTATCGTGCCTCCGCGAAACGCTCCGCGCTACGACCTGTCTAGAACCCTGATTGGCCCATGCTTCAACTAATCACACTAATCATTCAAAGTGGAGAGGAATGCACGGGCCGCCACGGGTACCTTGCAGAATAGCTTCGTTCTTCCCCCATCATGCACTAGTTCGTGATTACATCGACCATTGATAGTATTGACAAGAGACGGATTTGAAGCCGCCAACGGATCGCGTATGAGAAGATTTCATGCTATCCGATCAATTTTTTCCCCCACCGGAATTTGCTTTTGGATTGAGGAGAACAATATTATAAAGGACGAATATAAAAGGCTGTGGTTAATACAAGCTCATCGAGGCTCCCGTAGACAGCAGTCTTCCGCAGCATTAATCCCTTAGTCGCCGGACGGCTTTCATGTCTACCTTGGAGGCAAGTCACAATGCCATTGATTGCATTCAACACCCGAGACAAAAAAACCGTCGATAGGAGTGCAGAAACACCCACCAGCCACATGGCTTGGACGCTGGAATGCTCAAGAATGGGCTAGAACGCCCAACTCCTTTTCCTTTCATGTTTCTCGACGTAAAAGCAAGGTTGTGAGAGGGAAATTCTCAACACCAAAGGGCAAGGCTGCGGGACCTAATAGATGAAGAGAATAAGAGCAAGCATTTTAACAGTGTGACCGCAGAGAAGATGTTACACTAGTCAGGTCCGTTCCTAGTAATTAACCCGACACGATTATCCCTAACCCTTCCTATACCCCCCACAGAAAAGGCTGTTGTCACAATAACTGTGAACCCTCCAGTCATGGTGACCGGTTTGGGCAAGCAGATACCATATTCTTACACGTCCCGCGATCGCAACCTCCCTCTCCTTAAACATTCAGAGGCCGATCAGGTCCAGCACAATTCCCTGACACCAATCCAGCCAGACCGTATTCTTTCCCAGTGTCTCGCTTCAAATAAGGTCACAACATATACCGGACTCTGACTTCCTAGAGGGCTTGCCTGCCGGGTGCATGTGCTTCTTCAGTCCATTGGCTCCCCTCGCTCCGTCCGCTCTGCTCGATCCCTCATCAAACGAAGAATGGATCGGGTCATCATGCTGAACTTGTCTTCGAAGGTCTTTTGGAACTTCTCACAGGCTGCCCACATTGGGTCTCCCTCCTTCCAGTACGTGTAGCAGTTCAAGAAGATCAGTCGAACGTCGGCCGCGAACTCGAGGTCCGTTTTGTACTCGCCACGATCCATCTTGGCCTTGACCGTCATCAGGTCCATTGGGTTCTTCACTTTTGTAAAATAATCAGGAACTTGATCCTTCTCGGGATCCACGGCATCTCGGAAAGGTCCAACCAGTCGGGTCCAGAAGCCTGACGAAGCGAGTCAGCATGGAGCAAGAGTGTTGAAAAAAAAAAAAGAAAAAAAAAAAAAAAGTCGCAGATGGGTGGAATTTTGGCATACCAGGACCGGAGAGCATCTTGGTCAACAGATTGTTGCAGAATTCTATTCTGTGCTCTGGCGTGATCTCGTCCTCGGTCATGGCAAAGCCGGTTCCCGAGCGCCGCTTGGGAATCGGCTTCGCAGCCCGGCGAATAGCGGGAGATCTCCGTTCGGTCGTAGGGGGTGCCGACGCGCCAGATGGGCCAGCAGCACCAGACACGCGTCGGAGCCTCTTCGCACCGCGTCTACCCTCCTCGTCACTTTCTTCGATGTAGTGGACGCTCTTCCTCAGAGACGGATTAGTACCGTCTGCGTCGGGACTCGCGGCCGGAGAGGCTACCTGAACGGGCGGCGCAGAATCTAGAGAGCTCATGATGACGACCAACTCGCTGAGGACCTCCTGTGGGAGAGAGCGGGCGAACTCGGCCCGAGCATCTGACGCTCTCATGTACTCGGCAGCCCAAGACAGCAACAACTGACGAATCGATGAGCCTTCCGGGGTGTCCTTCCAAACCTGTATGAGGAGAGGCGTGGCTGGAATGCGCTGGGTAGTGCGCCTGCATTCGATCATGGTGTTCAATGCCTTGTCGCATAGTCCGTCGATACCGAGCATGTGGCCGAGTTTCCACACGCCGATGAGCACCTCGTAAGACGGAGTGGTATCTGGTTCGGGGACGACCTGTCCAGTGAAGAGAAAGTTCTGTACGCGCCCAAAGACCTCGGGCGTCGTATCGGGAAGCTTGACAATGTGCTCCAGAGAATCTGGAGTCTCCGAACCCTTGAATCTGTCCCGAAAGAAAGTGGAGCGTGCACAGATGAAGTCCATTTGGATACCAAAAGGAACCTCCTCCTGCCCAACGTAAATAACAACAAACTGAACATGAGGGTCGCTAGATTTGGCGAATTAGTATTAATATTCTTGTATTGTTTGATAATCGAACATATAGCGGGTACAGGGAGGGTTCTTGCTTACAGCCACGAGAAAGGCTTATTGGGCATCGGGTGCTCATTCTCCTTCCCCTTCTCCTTGTTTGTGTCATTGATTACTCCATTGGTTACTGCCGAGGAACTCTCGATATTAAGAGATGAGTCCCTGGGCGGAACCGGAGAGTTTGCGTTCATGATAAAGCTAATAAGGGCATGATCATGTCAGTTATTCATCCCCATGTTCCAACATGGTTGTTAGGATATAAGTTGCTTCATTCTCCATATAAAACCACTGAAGACAACTCACCAGGTATAAGAGACGTGTCTGAGAAGGATCAGGGCAGGTCAAGAGATGCCGCGATAGGAAGAGCGATGAACCGAGATGTATGTGGTGAGACGGACCGAGACTGTGGATGAAATGATATCGAGGAGAACGCGTAGAGTAAAACACTCAAACAGTTATGGCTCAAAACCTTAAACCGGGAACATTAAGATATTAGTAAACAAGAAAGAAGAAATATACGAGAAGAGTGTACTGTTGAAATTTGAGACTCGGTCGTTCGTAATTGAAAGAAGTGATTAGCTGTTGTGAAGATGTCGACGTGCTGGTGAAAGTTTGGAAAGTGAGACGGAGATGGGGCACGGTTCCCATGATGGTTCGTGCACAGTTTGCTCCGACAAAGTGACACGGTTAATGAGATGAACTCTAGAGTACACACAGCAAAAGGCAAGGCTCACGTAATCCTCTTCAGCCGACACTTCCAGACATTCCCGTCTCATGGTCGCTGGAAGTCTTACCGCATCGAAGTTGCCAATATCTACATATGGTTCCCTTTTTCTTTTTTTTCTTCTTTTTCTTCTTTTTTTTTCTTTTTCTGTTAATGGGCTGTAAAAAGGGAGTGTAATAACATAATATGTTTTGATCCCAACTCTAGGACTTACGGGGCTCCCCTAATACGGATGAAATGAGGGCCGTTGTAGACGAGACAATCTATACTTCTTTTCAGTTTGATTCAATGTACGAACCGGATTCCCTGATCAGCTTCTGCCGCTACTTTCTCGTAGGCGAGATATGTGGCCCAGAAGAGCAATCGTCGCTGCAGCAGAACCGTGACACCCAAAAATGAACGGAAGAAACGCCGGACGCCTCCCCCTCCGATGGCAGCGCAGGCGTGGATTTACTGCGCAAGGAGTACATGCATAAATTTCCCCTGCCTTGTGCTTGTGCCTGCGTGTTGATCGCTTCCCCGGTACAGATAGATAACCCTTTCTCTCGCTTGTTTCACTTATTCACTCGTCATCGCCCAATTCCTCCACTCGCGGAGCAACGTATCCAGCGCGCTGTTCCGGCTGGGCCGCTAGCTGAGTATCTGTCGCAGTAGTAAGTGCGGTGGCCGGAGCTGGTTGGCCAGTCGCAGCGGCGAAGGCACCACCCGCGTTGCTGCTGGCTCCACCGGAAGAAGACGACTTCTTTTTCTTTGCCTTCTTGGTCTGCGAGATTTGTTAGTTCGAGAAAAAAACAAGAGCCAGAATCTGTATAATGCGGGAAGAAACAAGTTGAGACGCAGACGCACCTCGTGCCAAGCCCAAACGGGCCTGAAGCTGTCCATGAACGATACGTCCTCCCAGAGGTTGGGGAAGAGCCAGAGTCCGGGAGGTACGGCGAAGTAGGTAACGCAGAAGAGGATGACGCGGAAGATTGCCATGGCGAAGAAAAGACCGAGGAGGCCCAGCAGACCCCAGCTGAGATAATAGACGCCCTGGCGCAGCTTGAGAGGCCACAGCGGGTAGCAGACGATGAGGAAGATGAGGACGACGGCGATGGCGGCATAGACCTTGCGCATAAGCTGACTGCCCTCGTAGAGCCATACGTAGTACATATCCTCCTTGGCCTCTTGCTGCGGTTCGATCTTGACTGTCCACAGCCCCTTGACGCGCTTGGTCTTCTTATGATTGTGGCCCGCATGGGCGTCGGACTTGGACACACGCAGGGCGAGCATGGACATGGGGAGCAACTTGAAGGTGTTCTCGAGCGAGGCGCGGTCGGTAATCTCGGGGAGGAGGGGGTTCTTCTTGCGGGCCTTTTCGTAGGCAGGCGACTGGAGGGCGCGCAGAGCACGCTTGACTGTATTCGTGGAACGGTCCGCGGTAAGCCACCGACCAGTTTTCCATATTTGGAGCGCGAAAGAGAGAAAGAGCGGACTACTACTCACCTCGAAACATGTCCTTCCGCTCGCCATTGAGAATGCAGGTGCGCGGCTTCAGCTCTTGGCTACGCAGGAAGTTGGCAAGGGCGATGGCCTTGGGGTTTGGAGGCCCAGGAACAACAGGTTGGGCTCCTGGGGGAGGAGCACCAGCGACAGGACGGGGCCCATGCTGGTGGGGATGGGAATGTGGGTGAGGGTGCTGATGCCCTGGGCCTGCCTGGCCTGGCGGTCCCGGGGGTCCCGGGGGTCCCGGAGGTCCTTGCTGGCCGGGGGGCCCAGGAGGCATCGGCCCTCCCTGCATTTGGGCGCGTTGCATGGCTTGCTGCCTCAGTTTGGCGACGAACTCGGGAACGGACATTCCGGCCTTTTGCGCATCAATTTCCAGCTGCCTTCGCATTGCTTGGATCTGCTCGGGCGTCGGCCGCTGACCGGGCCCCATGGAGAAACCCTGGGGGGGCATCGGCACCGGCATAGGCATCGACATCTTTTCGCTTTCTTTCTTTCTGTCCAGATGGAAATATCGATACCAGCCAGGGAGGACAAATGGGCACGAGGCTGTGGCGGAGAACAATGCTGAGGGTAAAAAGACCACAGAGCCTGAGAAACCTTCTCGGTGCCACCGAGTGCTTCACGACAAACCTGGTGGAATTGGAATGATGGTGCTGTAATGCTGCTGGAAAGTTTGGAAGGTGGTGTGGATGGGCGACGCCGGGTACACTGTACGTCACGGCCAGGGTAGCGTGTTAAGATAGCCAGGTGTTCTCTTCGGAGGCCCGGCCCCGTGCTGTGTATCGATAAAATCGGTTATTTTCCGATGTTCTACCGAATAGTACGTTGTAGGTACCGTTGAGGTTTGCTGAATCAGCTTTGGGCCATGAGACAGAGCAACAGTCAAAGAGTTCGTCGTAATTTAAATCAATATTATAATTATGGACACACCTGACTCATCCGTCTTCTTAATCTGCATCTTCGTCTTGGTCACCGTCGTCAGAATTGAACCGTCATCAACAACTTTGTCGAACCACCGCCAGCACCCGGCTAGCTGAGATGTGTATCCATTTTTTATGATCAAAATCAAAGCATGTGAAATTGGATGCCTCCTTTCGCCCTCTTTGACGAGGCCGCTCGTCATGGCCCACAGACACACATATCCATGATGTGAGAAACGATCTTATCATGACTCCAGAAGCAAGACAGCAACACACCATTAACGAAACTGCGCCGCCTTCCCCTCCTCCATACATCCAACTTCTTCTGCTATGATTCCCTCTTTTAGGCTTCCAATGATGTTTCTCGAAATGCCCATCCCGGCAATCCGTCGTCAAAGGGCAACATGAATGGCCATGCAGACAATCCTGCCACTTCTGATCTCTTTTCTTCAAGTCCACGCGGGAGACGACCTTACACGTAGGTCCGCGTCCAGGCCCAGGCGGTCGCGGCGCCTTGCAGGTACGGATATACCCCGTCCGCTCATGTTTGGCCATGTCAGTTTCCTCTCAGTTTCGTCCTACTTTATTTCTGTATACGGAGTACGCAAAATCAATGGCATCCAGTACCTGAGGGCACATATATGCAGCATGTGCATGCGAAGACGCCCTCTCACCCCGTCGTAAGCAGGACGGGGACTGGATTGGAAGGATGAGCAGCGACGACACAATTCTTCCGTGGAGAGAGTGTGAGGTGGCCGTATTTGTAGGTCGTCTCGTGGGCCCCCAAGATGCGATGAAGCTCCACCGGGCCTGGTTCGTCGGCAGATCCGGGTTTGACTTCTTTGTCTGTTGCAAGGGAAAAAAAGAAGAAAAAAAAGAGGATATGTCCAGGTGGATGGTTCTCAACCCAGAGGGGGCTCACGCGGACCCTCTTCGTCGGCCCTAAGAGCGACGAACTGCTGGCTTCGAACGATCAGAAACAAGGCAATGTAAGACATCGACTCGCTGGGCCATTGTCTTGATCTTACACGACTGGTGGGTCTACTTCGTGGTGGTGCAGCGCCAGCCATCCGAATCCGCCCACACCACTTACTTCTAAGCGCCCACTGGCTCACTTCCAATCCGCCACAACCTATCAAATGCCGCCACTACCCACCTCACCGCGAACTACAATGACGGGCTTCTTGGGCTTCTTCTAAGCTTGGCCTATGAAGCTCCGCAGGAGGCTTTGAGATGGGAAATTTACAAAGAAGCCCCAGGCCGTCCCTTCACGGGCACGTATGGCCTTTCTTTCACCGTGGCTTTCATTCTCTTTTAATCCAAGCTTGGGACCCCATCCAATCTTCTTTCTCTCCCTGTCTTCTTTCGTCCCGGGCTCTGGTTCTCTCTGCGTCTTCTTTTGCTCGTCTGGTTTCGTCAAATCGCTGGTCGTCTTTCGTTTTCTTCGTTCCCCCAGCTTTTCAGCATGTTTATGTTCCGAGAGTGACGTTATGAGTATGAGAGACGCTTTTTCTCAAGCCTACACGACATGGCTCTTTTTGGTTTCCCAGTGTTGTGCACCCCTATCAGCTTGTCTTGGTGACAAGCCCGGTGACCCAGGTAAGTCGTTCACGCTTCGTCGGCCTGGGCGTCTTTTTTTCTGTTTTTTTTTTCTTCTTTTTTTTTTCTTTTTTTCTTCTTCTTTTTGCGTATACACGTCTATTCTGTGCTGTCCCGAGAGCGACACCTCCGGTGCCGCCGAAGACGATGACGATGGGTATAGATGGATGTTGACTTCTGAAAGCCTTCGCCGAGGAGAAACGGTCGGTAACTGTGTTGCGGGATCAACCTGCACCGGTGCCGAGGCCATTTGCTGGCACAAGACAGGATTCTTGCCAGCTAGAAACGAGGAGGCTTGTTGCAGAGACTGATTCGGTGAAGAGCCTCGCCTCAACCCGTGCCGGCTTTGGCTTCCCAATGAAACCCCGATACCGGTCATCCTCCGAGGCCACAAGTGCCACGACATCGCGCCGGCCGCAGATATCCCCCCCTTCTGATTTTCGCCATCTTCATTCCGAGTCGTTCCATTTCCCCCAATACACTCGTCTTGAGCATGTATCGCGACGTCCGCCCCTCCCCCCGAATTTCCGTCCCATCGAGTTGAGCATCTGCACGCCGGGGAGACAGCTATCACCAATCCTGCCAGTCTTCGAATTTCCGAGTACCGTGTGTCTACCATCGAGTGCTCATGTTCCTGGGAAGCGGAACGACGACTTCAATTTGGACTCGGATCGAAGCTACTCGCCCCTGTCCTTCCATGTTCCCCGCAAACCAACGACTTCTCCAACCGTGCACGACGAGTCGCCTCCTAAGATCCCTCCCAAGTCTAGAGCACGGGCTAATACCTCCCCAAACCTGGAAAAGATGAAGGAGCGAATTGCCGGCGCCATGATCGAGGTGGAGAACCTGCAGAAGGAGATTGACTCGATAATGGAGCGACAGACCGTCTATACTGCTAGTAGTCGACCATCGACAGCGTACTCGATGGCGCCTCTTGGTAAGCTTGGCCCTTGAGAACGACGAGGACACCGATATCTCGGTACGTATGAAGTTGCTAACCAGCTTAGCAGACATGGAGCCCATGCCCTCGATTCCCGCGCTTCCTCCAGCCGCACCCTCGTTCGCTGAACGATTGAGCACAGAACGGCCGCAGACAGCACCTTCAGCATCGTCGACGGTGCGCATCCCTCACCGCGCCAAGACGTTTGCAGAGGCGTCAGCAGCGTTCATCACCCCTCCGCCCAGCCGGGGAGGAAGTGAGGAGGAGGAGCACCCGCTACCCCCCCCACTGCCGCTCGTACTGCGGCCGCCCCTTCGGAAGAAGAAATCCTTCTCGCGGGTGTCGAGCTGGCTCTTCCCCGACGACGGCGGCGCCGCCGGCCGCGAGCAGCACCGACGTGACATCAGTCTCGATTCGGTGACGAACCTGCCCCGGCCGGTCAAGGGGCGAGAGGGCTTCTATCAGTGTGTGGCACCGGGCGGCCAGACGACGGGGCGTCAGAGCTTCGACACGCTGTCGACGGTGCCCACCTGGGAGACGGAAGGGGAAGAGGAGGACGAAGACGGAAACCGGACCGTGCCTACCACGACATGGACTCCCGGCAGCACACCGGTGACGAAGCCGGACGACGTGACTACACCGCTGGAGCGGATAGCCACATTTGGGAAGGACAGTAGTATTAGAGGTCTGGAAAAAGGAGGCGCCAGCCCTCGAAGGGAGAGCGTCGGGGTGGCATACTGAATTCCTTTTTTTTTTCTTTTTCCATCTCGTTTTCTTTTTCTTTCTGCCTGCATTCTTCACCCTGACTGGGCCAGGGAGAGTGTTAATATTCGATACCACATTTGTACGTATACCCACGTCTGCAAGTATCCCAACTGGGTGTTTGGTTTCAGTTCTATGTACATATCTAGTGAAAGTTGTGATAGACATGGGAGGATGTTGGGAATGTGAAAGCTACTGTTGGCGATCTCTCTTCTCAGAGAGGTCGTCCATCCTTTTCATCACCACTTCACTAAGGGGAATTGTGGGGATGCTGACGATACTGATCGAGGGAAGGATGTCCGTGATTTTCGAGGGACGCCGCTGGCTATGACCTTGATGGTCGACGCGGGTCACGACATGCGGCCGGACGGAAGATCATCTCACTCTCACAGTAGGCGGTGGGTGGGGGTCTTGGTAGGTGAAGGTGTCACATTCTAGCACGTGAGCCACGGTATGGTGACCTCCTATTGGTTGGAGGTGCCCCACTATCTTCGCTTGGAAGGTGGCAGATGTATTTAGAACACGTACACCCGCCCCCTTTTCCTTTCTCTTTTGTACTCAATACAATCATACATTTCCTGAATCAACGCTCCATGCAAGCACTCTCCCGTCAATTCAACAGAAGGGGCCAGCATAAATTATCCATCTATATTGGACATAGAAACCGCGAGTCTAAGCACTACGTCGTACCTTACCTTACATAAGGTGGTTTAAGAGAGATTCGACTTGAGACAAGTCGGATCACGTCACACTACGAAGTATCCGTACCTAATAAATTCCTCACAGTCCAGAATGTAACTCCCTTCGCATAAGGACAGAGTGGGTCAGGCCCGTTGTGCTTATCGGCCCCGTTCATCACCGATACTCCGACCTGCTTGTGGCTTCGTCCATTGCCGCCGCCCCGACTGCTCGTTCTTTCACTTCCATCTTATTGGCCAATGGATATTATCGCCGGTGACTATTGTCACCGGTCTCCGATACGAAGCTCGTTCCTTCCCTCCCTTTCTACTACAGACTCGGGTGGCTTGCGAAGCCAAGCCCTTCGGCATTAAAGCAATGATCTCCTCGACTTCGCTGTAAAACCTCCCTCTGCCTGGTGGACAAGTACAAACATCCGTTTTCAAAAATCATCTAATCTCCTCTCATCGTCTCTCTGCCCGACTTACACGGGAAGTCTTCCCTCCCCCTTGTGACACTAGAATCTACAAAATGGGTGCCGACTGGTACGGCCCCGGAAAGTCAAAGGCGGCAAGTAAATTTCTGTCGTCTTGCGCAGGTTTGTCTGCCGCGACTACTCCTGTAGCCTATACTCGTGCTTGGGATGACGGCGCGGACCAGGAGACGGATGCCCGCGGCGGTGCTACGACGACTTGCGACACCCCCAGCGCCGATGGGTGTCGTGATGGCTGCTGCGACGGCCATGTCAATGATGCCAACGGACATATCTCCAAGGATGGCAGCGGCAGAGCTTCTCTGCAATCCGATTCCACCAACTGTTGCGGCGCCGAAGAGCAGTGCCATGGTGTGTTGTCTTTCGCAGCCCCTATTCCTTTCCTCTCCACGCATCTCCTGCCAAGAGATGATATGGGTTTGTGCATCCTATACTAACAGGAGGGCCATGTCGTGGAATGGCTACGTCCAGAAAAATGCATTGCAGTCGTCGCTGCCATGGAATGTGAGAAAGCTTGCGTCGAAGACGCGGACGAGCATGGTATGCCCCCGCGTTCAACCTGCGTCGAGCTGACCTACACCTCTGGTCTTGTTTGTGTTTTTGCTTTTCTTCTTCCTTTTCTTCCTCCTCCTCCTCCTCTGGAACACCTTTGAATCGCGTCCTTATTTCCATACCTAATCACCTAATCTGTCTATCCCGACTCTTACCTGCCCCTCCCTCTTCTTATCCACCTACAACACGCAATTTGAGGACGGATTTCTGATTCGGTCATGTTCCTTAGAGGCTGTCGACCATCGCCATGTCCACGACGACCAGGGCAACCACGTGATTCGGCCTGCAGCAGCCACCTTCGCAGTGCCTTCGAACGCTACGCTGCTTATATTGCCCAGGCTCGTTGCATCTGCCGCACCGTCCTGGAGCGGCCTCTCTTCTACATGCTGCACCAAGCCAAGAAGAACGCCACGAAAATCAACACTGCTACGACTATCAAAAAGAAATCTGCTACTCTCGCCCTCAGTGGTGGGAAATCCCGCTACACTATTACCTCCAAGACCTCGAAAAAGATGCACCACAAACATTCTTCCTCCGATGCCCTCGTTGACGAGCTGACGATTAAGTCTGGCTCGACTGAGCCTGACAAATCGGGCTGCTGTGGCGGCTCCGATCATCATCATGCCGCCAACCCCACTCCGCTTCGACCTACAACACCCCAACCTGCCTGGTCCAGGGTCCGAGAAGAAGTGAACGACGACGCCGAATATGATACTGGCGGCACTGAGGCTGTCGCCATCTTCATCGCCGGGATGACTTGCGCCGGGTGCGCGGAAAAAATGGCCCGCGCCCTGAAGTCCACCCCTGGCGTATCTCAAGTCCGGGTCAACTTCGTCATGAGCAAAGCCGACTTCTCCGTGGATCGGACCATTACCACACCTGACCATGTTATTCGTGCCGTCGAGGGTGCCACTGGTTTCCGCTGTACTCGAATCGCTGGCGACGGCGACCACACCCTCGACGTCTTGGCATCGCGCGATGCCGTTTCAGAGCTGCTGAGCAACCCGGCCCATGGTGTGACCGGTGTCACCGTCGCGAACAAGGGGGTTGTCAGGCTCACGTACGACCCTGCTATTATCGGCGCCCGTTAGTTGTTTAACTCGCTGGAAGGCTTGACCGGGGGGTCTTGCACCCCCGGGCGCCGACCCTGCGCTGGCCCGCGGCCGGGAGAGGCTCCACGACCAAACCATCAAGACGGTAATGGCCGCCGTGCTGACCATCCCCGTCGTCGTCCTGGCGTGGGGTGATACTTTGGCCGACGAAAAGACCAAGGCACATGTCTGGCTTGTTCTCGCTTCTCTCGTCCAGCTCATCGCCGTTCCCGAGTTCTACCGCCCCGCCATCTCAGCACTTGTTCATCTCCATGTGCTCGAGATGGACATGCTCGTTGTCATCAGCATCACTGCTGCGTTCCTATACTCGGTCGTCGCTTACGGGTTCCGCGTCGCCGACCAGCCCCTAGAGACATCGGAATTCTTCGAGACGAGCACTCTACTCATCACCCTGATCCTCCTCGGTCGCCTCATCGCCACGTATGCCCGCGTCAAGGCCGTCTCGGCCGTCTCCGTGCGGTCTATGCAGGCGAACACCGCCGTCCTGGTCGAGAAGGAGGGTGGGCAGGACCGAGAGATTGACGCCCGCCTGCTCCAGTGCGGGGACGAATTCAAAATCCTACCGCACACTCGCGTCCCGACGGACGGGGTCGTCATTAGCGGGTCGTCCGAATTCGACGAGTCCATGCTCACCGGCGAACCTATCCCGGCCCCCAAGCGGCCACAGGACCACGTCATTGCCGGAACGGTCAACGGCGATGGCACCATTGTGGCGAAGCTCACACGCCTCCCGGGTAAGAATACGGTCACCGACATCGCCGCAATGGTCGAGGAAGCCGCCAACTCAAAGCGTCGTTTCCAGGACGTGGCGAATAGGGTCGCCAGCTGGTTTGTCCCCGTCGTGACCGTCGTCTCCCTCATCGCCTTCGTCGTTTGGGTTTTGGTGGGCCTTAAGGGTCGGAACTGGCCTACAAGCAGATCTGTGGTGAATGCCCTCACGTACTGGGTAGCCATCCTCGCGGTTTCCTGCCCTTGCGCTCTCGGTTTGGCTGTACCCATGGTTCTCGTTATTGCTGGAGGCATTGCTGCGCGGGGAGGCGTCGTCATCAAGTCGGCCGATTGTACTGAACGGGTGCGCAAATGCACGGATGTGATCTTTGACAAGACCGGCGCCATCACGGAAGGGAAATTGGACGCCATGGTCGAAGAAATCGTCACATCCGACCGAGAAGGAGCCCTAGCCATCGCCAAGGCACTTGTCGCCGGCGGGAAGCACCCTGTTTCGGCTGCCCTGGACAAGCACCTCGCAAGCCATTCTGTAGAGGCTCTGTCCGGCGTTGAAGACATCCGCGTCGTTGCTGGTTGCGGGGTCGAGGCAAGCCTCAACGGCAGAATCGCGCCGGTCATCCGCGTTGGACCCGAAATGAACAACTCCCTATCGTCACTCGGCTCCAGGATCAGGGCCTAACGATCCTGGTGATCACAAGCGACGGTAACCCCCTAGCAGTCTTTGGATTCCGAACGCTTCTCCGTCCCGAAGCGGCTCACGTCATTGGTGCCCTCCAAGCCCGAAATATCACAGTGCACCTCGTCTCGGGTGATCAGACTCGAGCTGTCCAGGCGGTAGCCGCAGCGGTGGGCATCCCGCTCGAGAACGTCGCCGCCGAGCGCTCGCCGGGAGAGAAGCGCGACTACGCGGCCTCCGTCATGGAAGGCCCCAAGAAGTACGTCCTGTTCTGTGGCGACGGCACCAACGACGCCGTGGCGGTCGCGCAGGCGCACACGGGAGTCCAGGTGGGGGGGGGACCTGTCGAGCAGCGACGTCACGCAGGGCGCCGCTGACGTGGTGCTCCTGGCCGGGCTTGGAGGTATCCCTTTTCTTCTCGATGTCAGTCGGGCGGCGTTCAACCGCATGGTTTTCAATTTCGTCTGGTCTGCCGTGTACAATGTGGTCGCCATCCTCATGGCGGGCGGGGCCTTCGTCTACGTCCGCATACCACCCGCGTACGCCGGACTGGGGGAGATTGTTAGCATTCTTCCGGTCATCTTTGCGGCTTTGTCTATGCTGCTTCTCAATCTTCGCCAGAAAGCTTAGACTCCGTGAAGATAAGTTAAGACCAAGATCGCTATCAAGGCTGTGGCTCAGACAAATATGAAGGAATTTGCGGCTTCACCGAGGGTGGGAGGGGAAAAAAAGAAAACAAAATGAAAGAAGAAGGGGACAGGTTGCTGATGAGGTACCACAATTTCTATTTGATGACGTCTCGACTAAACGGAGGGTTGTTATCTATGCTTCATAGGCGCTAGATGTTTGCTGTGAAAAATAATGGTATTGCCAAAATTAGCGAAATCTGATAGTCATGAATGCACACCGAGTCTCACCGAGACCATTGTAGGAATAACCTCGAGGTGAATTGCACTCCGTGGTCCCACGCCCCACTTATTTGCGGTCTTGTTCCTCCAGCCCTTCAGCTAGCACGGGTACCTGGGTAATGTACCTAGGTTCGATAAACACAGTAAAGCGGAGCCGACACGACCTTAGCCAGCGCACCAACCACGTTTCCGCACTGGAGGCATGGTATTGGTACACATGGTCAGGGGTTTACACCGAGACAAAAAGTCGGCCCCACAAGTTCTCGACAGCTCCATGGGTCTGGTCCTCTTCACCACCTCCCTCCCTACACCAACCCTACCCAATTTACTGGACAAAGTAGCTAGGTGTAGAAGGGCAGGCAGTACAGGGAAGCAATCAGCAGCAACCTCGCCGACTTGAGGACGCCCATCTCTCCCACCATAAAGAAGCATCTTCGAGGAGCCTTTACGGACCACCTCGTCGTCTTTTACCGGTTTTCTGCGCAGGCGCACAACCGCGGTCATTCAACATGGGCTTCTCAGACATGACTGCCTCTCTGAAGAGATTAATTTCCGGGGAAAATAACCCTAGGTACACCGCAATACCGGCCTCCAACAGCGTCACCGATGGCGGGAATGTACAGATTCAGTCCAGTGGGAGCAGATGGCTACCACAGAACAGGCGACTCCTTAGGGTCTTGGGTGCACTCGTTTTTGTCACTCTCGTTGTCCACCTCGGTGTCGTTCTCTGGTAAGTAGCCAAATCTTTTTTTTTTTTTTTCCTTTTCCTTTTTCTTTTTTTTCCTTTTCCCAACATCAGACCGCGAGAGTTTGCTGACGAGATGCACAAAGGCGCATCACGAATTGCAAGGTTACGGGCAACTGCCAGGAGGAGGACCACACCCAGCTCTGGGGCCAGTACTCGCCCTTCTATCCCGTGCCCTCAGACTTCGACAGGGACGTCCCCGCGCAGTGCGAGGTCACCTTTGCCCAGGTCCTGTCACGGCACGGCTCTCGTGACCCGACGGTTCACAAGTCCGCCGCGTACCGAGAGCTGCTGGCCCAGATCCAGGAAACCGTAGAGGACTACGCCCAGGGCTACGAGTTCATCCGGGACCACAAGTACACACTCGGAGCCGACCAGCTGACGGCCTACGGCCGGCGCGAGATGAAGGTATCCGGCACAGCATTTTACCGCCGGTACAGGGCCCTTGCGGCGTCTTCCGAGCCCTTCGTTCGGGTGTCGGGCCAGCAACGCGTCATCGACTCCGGGCTGGAATGGATGGATGGGTTCCTCGAGGCCAAGCAGGCCGACGGGCACGAGGTTCCGGGGGCGGAAAGGGCCGACTGGGAGGGTCGTATTGTGGTTGTACCGGAAGAAGAGGGGACCAACAACACGCTCAGCCACGGGCTCTGCTCCGAGTTCGAGGAGGGCCCGTTCTCCCGCTTGGGGGGAGAAGCCCAGACGGAGTGGAGGGACGTATTCATGCCTCCCGTCGCGGCTCGGGTCAACGCTCATCTGCCCGGGGCGAACCTGACCCATTCCGAACTGGTGTACCTGATGGACCTCTGCCCCTTCAGCACGGTGGCGGACCCGGACCTGACGCTGTCGCCGTTTTGCGGGCTGTTCACGCTGGACGAGTGGCGCGATTACGACTACTACCAGACCGTGGGCAAGTACTACGCCTACAACGAGGGGAACCCTCTGGGGCCGACGCAGGGTGTGGGTTTCGTCAACGAGCTGGTGGCGCGGTTGACGGGCAGGCCTGTGCAGGATCGGACGTCGACCAACGAGACGCTGGTCGGGGACGAGGAGACGTTCCCCCTCGGACGGGCGCTGTATGCCGACTTTAGCCACGACAACGACATGATGGGCATCTACGGCGCGTTGGGACTGTACGGGGAAGAGGCGACGGGAGGGCCGCTGCCCAAGGCGGAGCGGTTGTCGGCTCTGGAGGCGGGCGGTTTCGCGTCGAGGTGGACGGTGCCGTTCGGAGCGAGGATGTACGTCGAGAAGATGAGGTGTGGAATGATTCGCGGTGGGGAGGATGAAGATGAGGAACTTGTGCGGATCCTGGTCAATGACCGGGTCGTTCCGCTGGCTGGATGCGGCGCGGACCGCTTGGGTCGCTGTCGGCTGAGTGCGTTCGTGGACAGCTTGGAATTCGCGCGCAACGGTGGCCGCTGGGATGAATGCTGGATTTAATCAATGAGTGAACGCAACGAGTAAGCGAGCGGGGAGTCCGGCGTTTGATATTGCACATTTTTGTACGTCGTTGATGAATGAATTGATTCATTGCGTTGTGGTTGAGCTGAGAAACACCCCCGTTGCTAGGGAGTGTGTGGAATGTGCTGATCTAGATCAGTTTACGGTCCAGAGTTGGGCCACTTGAATGATGTCTTTGAAAGACAGATCCGCAAACAGGAGATGGGAGATGTCAAGTTGTCTCGTCGTTATCCCGTCACCACGGAATAATTACCTTTTATATGGTGTAGAGCTACGTACGGTAGCATCTTGTTTAAAGCACTGTACCATGGAAGCGAACCCAACTAACAATGTACAGTGCGCATTGAAATTACTAAGGTACCTAGACAACGCATGCTAGCTATTGGATTGGTCAGCTTCTTCTCTTTCGTCATGGTGCAACTTCGCCTGTTGACGGAGTACGTAACCTAGACCTAAGATTACCTACCTTACCTTACCTTACCCAAGGCTGTTGGGACTTTGTTGTACTACCTCAACAACCAACAATCACAATCTCCCTCTCCCCCCATTCCCTTGCACTCGATTTATCGCCAGTCGAATAATCGCGAGACTTTTACTGGAAGGCTATTATAGCTTCCTTGTCGAAGGCGAACGAGCTGAAGGCAGGCGACCAGAAAACAGCTGCATGACGACAGTCGAACAAGCATCTTTCCCTTTTCGGAACGGTCGGCATCAACCACGAAGAGACGCAGAAACACAAAGCCAGGAGACGAGCCATTGCATCGAGAAAGGAAACGGACGACCTGAAACGAGTTCAACCCGTTTAACGAACCGAGCCGTCAGAGGCAGCAAGAGAGACGAGGTGCAAATAAATACCAGCCAAGATGGTTTCTACAGCAGGAACCATCGTTATAGCGATTGTGGTTGCTGCCGTTGTGGCGAGCGCTGCCTGGGTCGTCTACACCCAACTACGCGCAAGGAGATTAGGCGTACGTATCCCTCTTGGATCTCTCTTGTGTTCCTCTGCTCTGCCTCGCATACTTGACCACCCGCCCATCAGCAGAACAAGCAACGCCATCGTAGCTAACTTATTTCTTTCTCCAGCTCCCACCCCCTTCCTTCACATCGTACGTCCCATTCCTCAAACGCAGCTCTCCTAGCGGGAGCGGCGGAGGAGGTGGTGGTGGCATCTCCGGTTTCTTCCGCTCCCTTCGCAACCCCCGGTCCGCGCCAGGCGCCTACGAAGAGCCCCTCCAGGGCAGCAGCAGAGCCCGCCGCGGCTTCGGCCCCCTCGACCCGGACGAAGCCTGGGACTCGCGCGTCGGGTACGAGGCGGACACCTACGGTCCCTACGGCGCCTACGAGGAGCAGGAGCTGCGTACCACCACGGGCGGACGACAGGACGTCGAAACGGGATATTCCGGGGCGGCGGCCGGGGACGTGGGTGCGGAGAGCTACGACATGAACCTGCCGCGGGACGTGGAGCGGGGACGGACTGGACCGAGACAGGGCCAGGTCGGCCGGAACCCCTTTGACGATGATGCGGAGGCGAGTAATATCAGCTTGCGCGGGGTGAGCCCTCGGCCCATCGATACCGGAGCGGACAACCGGCCAGGTGGGGGTAATGGCGATGGCGAGAGTCCGACCGAGAGGAGGTCGATGTTCAAGGAGAATGTCTAAAAGCGCTATGAGAGAGGTCTCGTGTCTGTATTTCTCCATTTTCCCTGGGGCGACCATAAAGCGCGGATGCCGGCTTCTGTTCTGTTCAGTGGGGACTGGGGCAGGTTGGTGGTCTTCCTGCTGCCTTTTTTCCTGTAAAGAATTATTTTCTCTTGCTACGCGTGGCATAGGCCTCGAGTTGAGGCTATTCATATGAGACATGACTTTGGTTATACTCTTCATCGTCTGGATTGGGGTGTGGTGGGCGTGTTGTGGGAGAAGATGAGAACGTCGCCAGTTTTCATCCCCCCCCCTTCACCACGTCCAGCTCCTGTTCATCCCCTCAGCGATTCAAGTCCTGCGAATATGGTCATCATCAAAGGTGAAGCCGTGGGTGTCCCTTACGACTAGCCGCCATTCGCACCATTAGATGACATGAACAAGTTGAATCCTAGTTGGGAACCCTTCGCCCGGATTAACTGATCGTCGGAACGTGTCTCGTTCAAGAAAGATTGTTGGTTGGCACTAATTACCTAGTACTCTTATTCACTTCCGGTACCTGTACCTTCTAAAGCTGCCCCGCCGGCCGGCCTACTGACTCCGTGTGCGGGGCAACCCCCAAAGCCCAAGGCGGGGGCAATGCGTCACTGAGCATATTCAGTTGTCCCTGCCAATGGGATTGGATGTAGAAATTCGTTGCCTCGCCTCTCGCACAATCAACAATCAACGGCAGCCCAAACGTCTTCCACTCTAAACTCCAGATCGTCAGGAGTCAGTTATTGAACACCATCTAGGTCTATTGAAGCGTGGCACAGCTACCAACCAGCCCAGAGGCGCAATCACCATGGCGGACCTCAATCTTCAAGAGATTCACGACACGCTCGTTTCTGTCGCCTTCGAGGCCGGCAGGATGATCATGTCCGCGAACCCTTCCGAAGGCGACCAAGGCACCAAACTGAACTGTACGCAACCTCGACATGTCTCCGTCTTTGCTGTTTTCCACTTCCTGCGCGTTTCCCTCTTCTTCTGGCGTTTTGCTTACGGCACATGCTAACTCTCTTTCTCTCCAACCAGCCGTCGACCTCGTCACCGAAACAGACAAAGCCGTTGAGAAGATGGTCTCCACCCGTCTCCGCGAATCCTACCCCTCCATATCCTTCATGGGCGAAGAAACCTACACCCCAGGCGCCCGCGTGGGGCCCGAGCCGACCTTCGTCGTCGACCCCATCGACGGCACCACCAATTTCGTCCACGCCTTCCCCTCCGCCTGCATCTCCCTCGGCTTGGCCGTCGACAAGCGCCCCGCCGTCGGCGTCATCTACAACCCGTTCCAAGACCTCCTCTTCACCGCCATCGGGGGCCAGGGGGCGTACATGCACCGCGGCGCCGCCGCCGGCCACGGCGCCCCGCAGCGTCTCCCGTTGGCGAAGAACCCGACCCCGCTGGCCGGGCTCGGTTCCGCCCTCGTCGGCGTCGAGTGGGGCTCTGACCGCCACGGCCCCAACTTCGAGGCCAAGGCCGCCACGTTCCGCAAATTGGCCGCGAGCCCCAGCGCCGAGGGCGGCGGCGGCGCCATGGCTCACTCGCTGCGCAGCATGGGCAGCGCGGCGCTGAACCTCGCCGCCGTGGCCGCGGGGCAGTTGGACATGTACTGGGAGGGCGGTTGCTGGGCTTGGGACGTGTGCGCTGGGTGGTGCGTTCTCGCCGAGGCGGGCGGCATCGTCGTTGGTGGGAATCCCGGCGTTTGGGAACCCGAGCTCGATGGGCGTGTTTACCTTGCCGTCCGTGGGGCGCCTAGCGGCCAGAAGGAGATTGTGGAGGAGTTTTGGGCTGTTATGGGGGATCACCGCCTGGAATATTCGGTGTAGCAGACAAAACGAATAGCTCGACATCCTAGATCAGCAAGTATAAGACAGGCGGCTCCTCTAATAGGGGCGATGCGCATAGACTAGGTTGGACAAGACTTGGCTATCTGTAGCATAAAAAAAAAACGAAAGAAAGAAGGAAAGAAGGAAAGAAAGAAAAGAAAGAAAAGAATAAGAAACGAAAAGAAGAGAGAATAGAAAAGCCTAGAGGACAAAAGAGAAGAAGAAAAAAAAAACCGGGCCATAAAGGGCCGCGAAATTCACAACTGCCTTATAGAGGTCAACTTGTCTATACTCTGTAAACAAGTTGACCTCTATACCGTTTCTTGGACGTTAAGCCAGATTTTTTCTTCCCGACCGACCGTAATGAGATGACATCGACACTGAAACGATCCCTGGATGCACTTCATATAACAGGTTAAGAAAGAAATAGTGAATAACCCCAAAATAAGTTTCCGGTCATATTGTCGCTGTCAAGTCGCAACCCAAGCTGACGTTAGGTGTCAAATCCATGAACTCGGTTTTCTACTGTCCATATACATTTCACTCTGTTATCAACGCCCCGGGATGCCAGAAATATGACGCAATTTGACATGACGTGATAAGTTGCAGAGCTCTTAATTTTGCACATTTAGATCTTCCCCAAAGCTGTAGCCTGTAGGGCCAACCCGTCCATGGCCACGTCCCCACTGCCGACTGCCGACCTGCTACGGAAACAGAGCGATTGGAAGTTGCATTTAGATCCGATTTCTATTTATGACACCGAAACCACTTTAGCTGGTTCAAGTTGCCACATTGGAGGTTTAGAACGGCATATGACTTGCCACAGACCGATTCACCGAAGATGGGCACGCACATTGCTGCCAATGTCGTGGTGAACGCTAGTCCGTTTGCGGGTGCTCGAGGCACCTCCCCACGTGGCCCACACCCTCCGCCGCCAAAACCCCCGACGGGATCTAGCGCAAGTGACTGGTTCCAGGAAATGGGTAATCCTTGCAGCTGGTCAAATAGTGGGGCGGCTTTAACGTCATCGCAAGGGGGGTTTGGGAAGAGCCTGTGTATGAGGAATGGGGAGAAAGGCGTAACAGAGGCATAGTAGTCAGGACGTCTTATTGACATACTAGGAGACTTGGTGGGAGCAGACCATCAAGAGGAGGGAGGAAATGAAGGAGGGGGAGGGAAATTACGCGCTGCCTGTCGGCAAAATTCGGCGTTGGGCTTCCGACGTGAGAAGAAACTAGGAGAATTGTTATGCAACAAAGCGTGCGTTCGAGAACGGGCCTCGACTTTGGTGCATGTGCAGTCCACATCCCCGCTCCCCCCCCCCCTCTCTCTTCCGGGTGCTTTTCCCCACTGTTGCTGTCCGACAATCCGCTGCAGCAGTGAAAGAGGAGAAAATGCAAAAGAAACATTGGGAGTTTATCTTCAACTGGCACGAAAAACTTCGAACTGCATAGGAAGGTGGTATTGTTCAACACAATGCAACCGACACGGCTATCGCCGACTGTCACGGAACCTGTTCGAGACTGTATAACAATATGGCACATGGGCTAAAGATGCCAGTCCCTGCAGCGATGGGATGATTTTGGCTGTTGGTTGACGATGGCGCTGCCTTGCATGCCTATGTATGAGATGGGTAGGAGGTGAAGAGGTTGGCGGAGCGGTGTGATGGTAGTGAACGCATGCTGACAGGGGAGTACCAGGGTGGCAAGGATCATGACGGACCCCACAAGGTGTTTGGAAAACGACGATATCCCACCTTTTCGTTCGATCGTGTCGCATTCTCCTCCCACCTTTTATTCGACCCGTAGCCGGCCAACTTGCTGTGGGCAGGCATGGAGGAGACCACAGAGACAGTGAGGATCTGCAAGACCAATGATTACGAAGTAAGAATTGGATGACAATGATGGCCAGGGATCCCTGTCGATGCCATGTCTTGCACGAATGAACGATCCCAGTGCTCGGATAATTAGGTAAATAAACCGGCGTCCATGCTGAAGTCCAGGTCCAGCATCAGGTGGTGGCATCGGCGACGAGCATACGCGGATTTTTGGGGGTCGGCTGACTTGCGAATTCGCTAGTTCGATAGTGATGGTGACTCAATATCAGCCAGGTCATCATCTAACCTGTCCAAGATGCGCGGGCTATTGCGCGTCGTTTTCTGTGCGCATGTCGCTTGCAACGGAGTGTGGAAGAAGAAAGGAGTTTGCGGCAGAGGCAAGTTGGGTTGGACTAAGGTATGCAGATGCAACGAAGACCGGTGAGCTAGTAAAGGAGGAGCGGAGGTCCATGGCCTGGTTCCAGGCCGTGTCGGTTCGAGATGGTCCCTACAACGTACTTCTACTAGGGTATGTAAGCAGACGTCGGACGCCGATATTCGTACCAAGTCCGGCGACCGGTGTTTCGTGCCTTGGCGTGTTGGGAATATTGAGGGTATTTCTATCTTTCCTTGATATCGAAGTTTATAGACAACGCATATATTAACATAAACTGCGCATGTGTGAAGCCAAAGAAAACGGGTATAGGACGGAGCAAGACGATGAATGAATCGACGGTGGCGGGGTTGAGAAGCTCGGACCAGAGAGACAGAGGAGGGGGAATGGAATGGAAAGACAAGAACACCTATCCCTGTTAGTTCCGCTAGCGTTGACCCCCTTACATGCATACATGGGTTGGCCGTGAATAATAAGGTGGGTCTGTACATGGTAGTGCCGAAACCCCTGGCCGTCTTCAGTCTTGAAGCAGCAATCAAGATAGACTTCTAGCCAATCATAGTGCGATCCTCGTTTGGGATGGCACTCACCTCACCACCCCACATTCCGGGATGAAAAACTTAGGTAGTTCGCTCGGTATGGTGTGGCGTTCCTTCTCAAGACTTCCTATTCCTTCTTGTTGGTTCTTTTGCCGATTAATTACGAAGTATGTGCGCACACTGCACTTGCCTCGTACATACAGAGTAAGACCTGTCTATCCATTCCCGCTCGATAATCCCCTCCCCCGGACCCGTGCAAGCGCTTGCAACAAGTGAAGCCGGAAGACCGTTATCGGTCGTCCTATACCTCGTAAAGTACCAGCCTACCCCCTTCCCCCGGCTGAGGCCCTCGTGGCCCCCTTCGTTCTATTAAATTATTTCTGCTGCTCCCGTCCTCCCGAGAGTCGAATCTTAAATTTTTTATTTCTCTCTCGTCACATTCCTCGTGCTCTCTTGATTCTCTTCCCTCCCCACCATCCTTCTCCCTCCTAATCATCGTGACACGAACCCCGTTGGCTTCGACCGCAATCGGACGCCGCCCTATTTTATTTTCCCTCGCTCTTCGTCCTCACGCCTATAAAGCAAAGACAAGCCTCGACCTGGCGAGGCTTGTCATCTCTATTCACAGACACCCGCACTTCTTGCCACTTGACCACGCGCAAAGCACTTGGACGACAACGACGACAACGACGGCACAGCTGATCTCGAACTGCTTGCTATCCTTCTCCCTGGCTACTCGTCAAGTGTCGCGTGTGTAGTGTTGCGGGTTGTTGTGTGTGTTTTTACGTCGTAAGACTTATACTCGATTGAGAAGCCATGTCTCTAACTAAACAGAGATCCGCCCACAAGTCCGATGACTTCCCCACGGTTCAACTCTTTCTCCTAGGTATGTTTCGTGATTCTCTTTTCCACCAAAATCATCTGAAACCTGTCCGCCTGCCATTCCCACCAAACCCTTGTCTTGCCCAAGTGAATGGGAGACACGTCACACTAATACCCCCGCCTAGCGATTGTCCGGCTCGCGGAACCCATCGCCCTCACCTCCATCTACCCCTACGCCTGGGCCCTCGTTAAACGATTCGAAGTCGGCGAAGAGCAAGATGCTTCGTTTTACGCCGGCCTCCTCATCTCGGCCTTTTCCCTTGCCGAGGCCCTCATGGGTATGTACTGGGGAGGTCTTTCGGACCGCATTGGCCGCAAGCCCGTTTTGCTCATTGGATGCTTCGGCACCATGTTCAGCATGATCATGGTCGGCGTTGCGACCAATATCTGGGTCGCGCTCGCAGGACGTGCGCTTGGTGGTCTTCTCAACGGCAACATTGGTGTCATCCAGACCATGGTTGGGGAGCTGGTCAAGAGGCCTGAGCACGAACGTAAGACGACATAATTACCCCCCATCCCATCCTGCCATTCCATCTTCCCCTCCCCGCGCTTGTCCATGACCTGGACCACCTGGACCACCTGGACCACCCCGTCTATGGGACCTCTTACGCTAGCTAACTCTCTGTTTTGCAGCCCGCGCCTACTCGGTGATGCCGTTCGTATGGTCCATTGGTACCATCCTAGGCCCGTTTGTAGGCGGTACGTTCGCCGACCCCCATGATTCGTTCCCGGACCTGTTCCCCGAGGGTTCGCTTTTCTATAACTATCCCTATCTCCTTCCCAATCTCATCTGTGCTGGGCTCCTGCTCGTAAGCATCATTCTTGGTTGGTTTCTCCTGGTCGAGACCCACCCTGACATGCAGCCCTGCGATGCTCTGGCCGAGGATACGTATGCGTATCTGTCGGAGGAGACCCCCCTGCTGGAGACGTCGGATGCTATAAAGCGGCCGGTCGTGGACATGCGCGACGACAACTACGGCACGGTTCGTGTCCATGATACCCACATGGCGCCGGCCTCGGAGGCATTTGATGTGGAGAAGGACGACGAACGATCGAGCAGCATTTCCACGAAGCGAATCGTGTCTATCATGATTGCGCTGTGCATCTTCACGTATCACTCAATGACGTACGACCACCTCATGCCCATCTTTTTCGAGGACGATCGCGTCGCCGGAAATAACAGCACCAGCCTCACCGCCGCCGCCGCCGCCTTATCGCCCTCTGCCTCGTCATTTTCTTTCCTCGTACCCGGCGGATTGGGGCTCAGCGTGCGGGACGTTGGGATGATTATGGCCGTCAACGGCGGGATCGCGCTGTTCATCCAGGCCGTTGTTTTCCCTCTGGCTGCAGAGAGGATGGGTGTGTACCGACTGTTCATCCTGGTTACGGTACTGCACCCGGTCGCGTACATGTTGGTTCCGAGCCTGCTACTCGTCCCCGAGTCGCTCCTCTACCCGGCCATCTACTTTTGTCTGGCGGTGCGCAACGTCCTGTCCATCATCCTGTACCCGCTCCTCCTTATCCTGCTCAAGGAGGCGACGCCTACGCCCAAGGCTCTGGGGAAGGTGAATGGGATGGCCGCCAGCGCTGGCGCCGGATGCCGGATGATCGCACCGCCCATTGCGGGGTGGCTGTACACTTCCGGCAGCAAGGTGGGTTGCAGTGCGCTGGCGTGGTACGGAAGCGCCGTCGTGGCCGTGGTCGGATCCGTGCAGTGCTTCTCTGTGCCACGGTCCAAGTTTGAGCAAGGGGAATTACCTACAAAATGCAGAAAAGAGGAAAGCATTCCAAAATAAGGACTGGAAGGGTGGGAAAGGAAAAGAAAAGAAAAGATAATACGAGCGAAAAGAAGAAGACACGGGACGAAGCTAGGACTGGGTTGGGGGTCAGCAAGCCAACGACTGAAGAGCGAGGGAGTTTGGGGTTTTGCTTCTGAGCCAGCGTGTTTTACTGGATGAGAGATGTCTATGGGCAGAGTTGGATTTTTTTTTTTTTTTTTGGATGTTTATATATCTATAGTCGTGGTGTTTAGTTGCGGTAGCGAGATGGTGAGATGGTGGTGGTATTAATGGAAAACCGGCGTTGACGCGTCTTGGATAAATTGCCTCCGTGAAGTCTACTTTATGTTTTGTAAATAAATTTATGACTTAATTAGTCGGCACCTGTTTGTGGAACGCAGCGAATCGAGTTAAAAGGTTCTGTAGAGTCTCTATGGAATGAATGTTGAGAGGAAAAAATCAGGGAAACCAAAAATACAAAAATACAAAGATACAAAAAGGGAAACACTGCCGAGCCCGGACTATTTGATATTCAGCCCGGAAAAGTGGGGCTATGCTGACATAGGTTCTCTGATAAACAGCCGAATTCGTAGTATTAAAACGGGGTCTCGGCGGGCTAAGGTATATACCATTATATTCGTTAATTAAACTGTATATGCCTGCCCTTCTATAAGGTACGTACCTTAGGCTTATAATCCTACTACTCTTCCTAACTATTACTACTATAACTGATAAGATAGAATAACCCTACGGCCCTATGCCGCCCGTCAGTATCTACGACTCGGTAGAAGAGGCGTAATAAGCTATTTAGTAACACGCCTACTTAAACGGCTACTCTCTTATTATTAAAGAATAGTATCCTCCCGCCTCTTCTAGCAGATAACCGATACGTATTATATTCCGCTATAGGAAAGGACGTTCTAAAGGATCCTATATATCCTAAGCTTATAAGTCTAAGCGCAGGAAAACGGCTACGTAGATAACTAACTGCCCTTTCCGGATTAATATTAAGGTGCACTATAATAGTAAATAGGTTATTAATTCTATTCGTGGCCGTGGCGGTAATAATACGGCCTTATCCTATAACTATAGGTGGGCCGAAGTATCTTCCTTTGCTGCCTTTCGAACCTCGTAGCTACGACTATTCTAAGATAAGGTTATTAGTATATAGAATACTAGTATTCGACCCTAGTAGATCGTGATAAAGCTGCGAAATCCGGAATCGGCAGAATAAGCGCCTCTTTAAGTTACTCGCTCCGATATTATAAACTTACTTATAAAGCACCGAAAAGATAAGCTTACCGGCCGTTCCCCGTTATAGTGGCTTTATAAGGTAATCCTTCCCCCCCTACGTATAGAAAACATAGCTAATACCTATTATTTTATAGTAACTAAGTAATAAAGCGAGCTACTTTTACCGAGATCTCTAAGATAAGCTAGGACGTGTTAAGTGCCTTTTTATTACGCCGTAATCCTCTATTAACCTACTATATTAAGCTCCCGATATTAAATAGGTAGTCGTAAAGAGTAAAAAGGTAGGGCTAAGTAAGGAACTAGATAAGATCACGATAGGATCACGATAGGACAAGTATAGGGGTAGCTAAAGAATTAGATTAATCGCTAGCCTCCCTCTTCGAAGGGGAGGCTCCTCTACTCCTTAAGACTACGTTCCGCTACTCCTTAAGAGCTACTTATTTGCTTCCTCGAGGACTGCCTTATTTACTTCGAGGGACTATTCTATTTACTATATGATAACTGCTTTATTTATGCCTTAAGGGGTCTTAGCTGCTCCTTAAGGGCTGCTTATTTACTTCCTCGAGGACTGCCTTATTTACTTCGAGGGACTATTCTATTTACTATTTAATGAACTGCTTTATTTATGCCTCGAGGGGTCTAAGACTAAGTACGCCTAGACCCCTATAGGTTTATACCGGGGTCCTATTATAACTACTGCTATAGACACTTGATATAGCGACCTCCCCCGGATACTCCTGTTCTTAGGAGCGCCCGATCCGTGCCGGCCTCTCGGCTCCTCCAGAGCCTAGCCTCCAAGCCTATTCCTAAATCCCGAATCCCTCGATACCCCGGACTAGAGCCCTCCACGATAGGACCCTAATAGGTTCCCGCCTAATGCCTATACGGGGCCCCTTTAGCCGTGGCTCTAATCTAGGTATACCCTCTCTCCCTTTATCCATTAACTAAGGCCACTAATAAGGTCCACTTCCTTTTATACTTCCGAATCCGGCGCCGCGTACGGCCGAGTCCTATTAATCCACTTATAGCCGCGCCCTATTCGGGACCCTAATAGGTTCTAGAGTAGTTCCTTCCCGGGTTATCGAGTCTATCCCTTTATCCTCCTAGTTTATCCCTTCTATCTATCCATAAAGACTCCCTCTTATAGTATTATATAGGGCCTAACGTTACTCCTTCCGTGAATTTCGTAGCTTCCTTCTTTATACTAAAAATAGGTCCCTATATAACTGCCGTTAGGGGGGATATCTCGTAACCTACCGTTACTCTCTTTTCCTATTCCTTTTCTTCCTCTTCTATACTTAATTTTCGATTATACTACGCCTCGTGAGTTCTACTTAATCTAAGGTATCGCGTACTAACGGTTTATAGTTTTACTTAATTAATTAATTAATTAACTACTATCTTATAAATACTTCCTAGCCTATCTCTAGTCTATAGTACTAGCTAACCACGCGATATAGTATAGTTATTATACCTTCCTAGGAAGATAATAATAATAATAAGTGCGTCGCTACTCCGATAAGTATAACGCGGTCCTCTAAAAGGATTAAGATCGTGGTTACGGTGTTAACCTCGTAGTCCACTAAGTAGTCTGCCCCGTAGCTAGCTACGCTATAGCCGGCTACGCTAGAGCCTCCCGCTTTTACTACGGCTATATCGTTATCGACTACTATATTATCGGTTACTCCCCGCTAAAAGGTAGTGGATATCGGTATAAGCGGAGATCTAAGGGCCCCCTATATATATTATACGGGTAAGTTAGTAACGATTAACTTTAATACTCACCTAGAGTCGATAGCGGAAAAAGCGCCTATTAACTATAGGCGTGTAATAGAAGTAAAATCGATAAAACTACTAAGACGGAGATTATAACCACCGCCTCCCTCCTAGGATACTATTATAGCGGCACTGTAATACCGACGCTACGGTATAGCTAGAAGAGACGTGGGATAGTAGCCCGATCTAGTCCACGCAGAATTCGTAACGGACCCACTTTTCGTAATATAAGCGCTCCCCCCCTCGCCTATAGCGGGATATAGCGCGGAACCGATAGGAGACCGGAAGGGGACTACCGCGCCCCCTAGAACCGAGAGTAATTAAGATTAAAGCAGAAATTTAGACCCTACTAGCTAATAGAAACACGATCAAGCAGGTTATAGAGCTAGTAGAGGAACTAATTATAATACGTATTACCTATAAGGATATCGGCGCGATACCGTTGTATACCTATATATTACCATTCGCTATATTATCCGAGAGAAACTCCGAAAAGGAATAAGTGGCACGAAAAAGACCTAGGCTAATATTTATAAACGACTAGTTATAGGTTATAGCACTAAGTAAGGTCGTAATAATAGATTATCTAGAACTAAGGAAGGAAGAAGGAAAAGGAGAAAAGTCTATAGCGCTAGGCTAGCTATATGGTAGCGATGACTTAGCGATATAGGTCCGTTAACTAAGCGCGTAGTTAGGAAGATCCAGAGTATAGCCGGATCCTCTATATCGGGGTTAACCCGTAATACTATCCCCCCCTCTCCCTCCGGGGGTTATATAACCGCGTGTTACTATTATAGTTCGGCTCCCCCTTACGTCGCGGTGATAAAGGAATAGTCGCGTCTCTTTATCTTACCTCGCCCTTACCTTAATATTAAAGAAATCTTAGGTAGCCTGCTAACCTTTATTTATATACCCGAAATAGTAATATAGACTACCCTCGCGTAGATACTATCTATAGATATATCGGCCTCGTTTTCCTTATAGGCCCTCTCTTCCTCTATTCCCCTCCCTACCTTTAATAATAATAATAATAGTAATAGCGGTTACGTATATACTCTTCTTCCTTATAGCGATGATTCCTCTAATATCGCCTGTCCTTAGATAATAATAATAATACTTAGCTAGTTTAACAGTTCCCCGTTTAAGGTAAGCCGTCTCTCGCTCGCGATCTTTTCATTAGGAACCCTTTACTAACTTATATCGTTTTTATAGATAGTGCTAGCCCCCGGCGATAATAGGGGTAATAATAGTAGTAAGCATACCGCCGATAACGATATAGATATAATACTCTTACGTCTTAAGGCGATACCAACCGTATAATAGTTCGTGTTATCGCCTTTACTACCGCCTAAGAAGAAGAAATCGGCGGGTAATCGGCCTCCTAAATACCCTCCCGGTAGTGTTTATACTAAGCTATACCTCCCTTATACACGCGATATCGCTAATAGGAAGTATAAGCACCTTTATTATAGCTAGATTAGTCGGGGGAAGAAATGCTACGTATACTCTATAAAGATATACTGGTATACTCCTCTCCTAGCGTACCTTAAAGGCTACGCGTAGAGGTTATTCGAGACGGCTACCCTTATTAGCGATAATAATAAAAACACCCCTATAAGACTTCCTCCCCCTTAAAAGGTTATAATAGTATCACTAACTCTTTTTCTAAGAGTAGGAACCGTATCTTAATACCTACGCGGTGTTTTAGGATACCCTTATAACTAGGGAAGCGATAATAGCGATATTACCTATAGCTATATATCCCGCGGAGGCTCCCGGTACGGTAATCGCGTTAGCCTCTTCTCCTCCCTAAGAGGTCTAAGAAGCGGTAGTATTATAGTTAGCCTCGCTACCTCTTCCTAAGGTTATTAACGAGGTAGCTAAACTAGCCTTACTTCCTCCGGTAATAAAGGTTATTAATAAGGTAGTTACGCTAGTCTTTTCTCCTCCCTTAAAGGTTATAGAAGAGATAGTATCGGGACTAAACG